ATATATATATAAATAATATATATATATATTTTAATCTTTTCTAACTTCTATTCACTGCTTTTTGCTTTCTTTCCTTCACTTCCACTGGATAGAGGTCACTTGGTAAAATATCTATCCAAAGAGGTTTGGCTTTGCCTACTTTTTAAAATGTTTCTCAAATGACTTAGGCAAATGTCATTACTCCGAGCAGCAATATTGCCAGTGTGATCTTTTTCAGGATGTTTCTTTTCAATAAAATCAGTCACTTTCTCATAATACCTCAAGATTTCTTTTATCGAGCACGATCCTTCCACAATGAAGCAAACAACACACGGACTGAGACCAATGAACAGAAGTTAATAAAAAATGGCACTGCGAACTAATGTAATGTTGTATGGTGAGTTTTGTTCGTACCGGAGCAAAAATATGTTGGAATTTCATGTCCTATCCTGAAAATTTTGTATGCTGGGGCATTTGTATCCTGAGGTACCACTGTATTAGTTTTGAATATTTTAAGACAGTAATTTTCAAACAGGGTGACTGAAAATAATTTTTTCTTATCTACTTTATCAAGTTTGAGCTGCCGCTATTACAAATACTAGCTTAGTCTTAAACCAATCTTACTATAGTGTACGGGAAAAATGGAGGAGGTCAAGCATGAAATGACTCAGATGAAAATAGACATATTCAGAATATAACTACAAAAACTTTTTAAAATAAATTCTAAATACCATCTTTACATATTTGTCAATGTCATGTTTTAGTCTTAAACATTCTAAGTAAGCCCTGGATTTATGTTGGAACAGATCCAGGGATTGCTGATATGCATGAAAGTCAATAATTATGTTATGTTGCTGAATTTGCTTTCATATTTATGCACTAGACCTTATAATTTGTACAGAACATCTAAAGGTATTTAACACACCTTAAGTCTTTCCAAGGGATCTTCTCTTAGTTTTTCCTGCTCCTTCAGAATGAAGTATTCTTTCTCATATTTTTTCAATTTTTTTATCTGCAAATAAATACAAACAATACTATTAAAAATTCAATCCATACAACATTCTTTGTCCTATGACAATGAAATTATTTTGTGTTTTTGAAATCTAGTTCTCTACTCATACTACTGTCTATTCCTTGAAAAGACCACAATGGTTCATTTTTTGATTAAGGTTTGCTTGCATCCCTATACCATTTAAAAGTTGGACTAGTCAAACTGTGAATTCTGAATGGCAAAAGTCAGTTCAAAGAGTACATTTGTTTGTTACTTTGATGACAATGTTCCATTTAAACACTGTAAGACACTAGTTAAATTGATTATATATTGTTTTCTCAAAAGGTTATATGTTTGCATTGATTGCCGTAAGTATTCAGAACTCTGTACATTTCTGTACTGAGTAATATAGTACAGATGATGTTTATTTCCAGTTTTTTAAATCTCACAAATGACTTACTAGTAATATTGATTAAAACTACCCAAACAAATGTATACATTGGTGATGCCATTTATAATACACCAATGAGATCTAGAACAGTCTGCTTTTTAATGTATACAATTTGTTTTATGATTATATTCACTGAGTTGAGCCAAAAAATCTCAAAGTTGGCTTGAAATGCATATGAATTGTTCAAAATATATTCAATAAAGGTTGAGTTGAAAGCCTAGGAGTCTTGAAAAAGTGGTTAAGTTGCAAAATCAGTTTACTGAATTATGTTGACACAAACATCTAAACAGTAATACCAAGGAAGCAAATTAACTAATCAAGTTTATTTTGAGGATAAAACCAGTCTTCTCTTTATCCTACTCATTAACTTTGACTTACCAATATCTGGACCAAACATCCATCATCTATAGAACATTCAATACTATTCATCAACTTATAGTAACAGAGCTGAGCTTCCAGAGTTCTTCATGCTTATTCACAAACTAGTAGAAATGACCAAGGTTTTCCAGATAATTGAATACCTTTGGTTCAACATTTGTTGCCACCTTCATTTTTTTGCACAGCTAATGAGACCAAATAACACTTCTGCTTAATTTCCTCATATTTAAATATTACAGCTTCAAAATGATGAAATTATACTCTATACAGTTGTTAGTCTTCCCCATTAAACTGGCTTGATTTGTGCTCAGCAATGTCCAATGATGATCCATGTGAGAAATGGCTACAATCATTAGTTAGACATTACTTTTGAGCTTTACATATTAAATTGTAGCTCCACTGTTCATACATGTTTTGACTAAAGAATTATTGATAATGACAACAAAGTCTCCTGACAGGTTGTTAATAAAAATTAAAAGATACTGCCATCAGATCTAATCATTTTCTAAAGTTCTGTAGCTCATCCTGGATCAGCATTACCACAGAGATGTTTGGTAGTTGATGAGTTCTCAGTTCAGGAATTTACAATGAGGCATCAGATGGATACAAATTTAACTACAGCAGAAACTGGTATAGCAATCAGGACATTGACAGAGGAGGTTGCTGAAGACCTGTTTAATGTCCTGACTTCTTGTCAGGAATAATTTTGGTTCTTGGTTTAAGGCAGTCACCCTAACCTGGTGTACCTGCTGAGCTTTGGTGAAATCTTGCATCTTGACTGAATCCGTACTTCAGTCTGACATTCACTCAAAACACCTCTAGATTAGGTAGACTCAGATATTCTGGTCAAGAAGTTAACAATGAATCATACTCTGCAAACAACAAAAAAGGCAACAAAGTTACTTATTGAGAATAAACTTGTTATCCTAAATATATCAAAGGTAGTTTTATGAGCACTTGAAACTGTTTTTGAATGGAAAAAGAGATCTGGCTGACAAAAAGTTACTATATAGCAGCATCCTCCTTTTCAGATTATTATTCCATATAGTATGGAGACCTGTCCACATGTTCTCTATACTGGAACAGTTAAATTTATGAGTGAATGCCTTCCTGCCACCAGACTTCAGAGCCATAGAGCTATGGATTAAGTTAAACAGCAGTACCCAGTTTTCTGTGCAGTCTCTGCACAGAGTACCTGAATGTTATTAAACTTTAATGGTCTCACAAGAATCACTGTGAATTAGCTATTGCCCAAATTCTTTAATGTATATAAGAGTCACAGACAGATATCTATCTATCCATCCATGGCATTCAACACTTGGAACAAAATTCTTTTTATTTTATATTTCTGTTAAGATTTACAATATTAAAAGTTTATGAAAGGACCACTCCCGTCTTCATAAACTTTTAATATTGTAAATCTTACACTTGAGTTGTTAAGCCAAAGAGATTGATTGATGAGTTGTTTACAATTCTACACAGCTTAAAATTATTATTCAATTCAATTCACTTACACCCACTAGCTAATTTGCATTTGACTCATCAAATGCAAAGACAGGTTTTGAATTATAACATTTGTCTCGATAATGCACAATATAACACCAAATTTTCAGAATAAAAATTAAGACATGTAAAAGAACAATACTCACCTTAACTCCGACTGCAGTTCGAAGCATATACTGTGCGCTTTCTTCCGACCGGTACTTTTTTGGCAGGGTCACTCGAAAATGTTTGAGAACACCCTCAAAATCTAATGCCAACAGTTCTTTCCTAGATAGCTAATTAAGAAAAAAATCATGATTAGGCTTACTTAAATACTTGCATGTCCAAAGTTGTTAGTATAAATATTGTTATTAAGTAACGTCTCATTTCAATGAAGATTTAAAAGTAATTTATATACTCTAACAATAAACAAAATAATATGTTTCTTATATTCTCTTTATAAATTGACATCCAGATGAAAAAAATGATTTAATAGGTGCATTTAATGACAGCAGATTATCTTCTTGTTGTTACAAGATGATAATAGTAAGATTTTATTTCAATGAAAATATAGAGTATCTTAGTTTTTCATATTAATGATATCAAAGCAGTTGAAATATAAATAGGTAGCTTTCAAATATTAATGATCTGTTTTTACTAAAACTTATTGTAAATCATCTTAAAGGAAATAAATCTGTATTTAATAATAATGAGGATAAATCTTAAATAGAAAAATGTAATTTAAATTTGTTGCTCTTTAACCTTTGACAGAAAACAAACAATGTACAGTACATGATCTTAAACTTTGACTCAGAATGGTTTTGCCGTATTTATACAACAACCATGTTGCAACTTTGCTGGAAGGCATTTCCACCTTTTGTGTAATTTTTCATCCATATAAAGTATTACAAATAAAAATTTGACTTTCTAAATGGGCATTTACAGCCATATAACATTATTATAATAACAAAGCCAACCACTGCCACATGCCATCGGACTATATAACTGTTACATTAATAATAAATTACCAAACAATTTGACCCTAGAGGGAAGCATTAGGTGCCATCTCAATTAAAGTACTTAATTAAAATTGTAATTATTAAATTATCAATTCTTAAGGAATTGATTTTTTCTTCTCGAAAGGTGTTTTATTCAATTACATATTAGCCTTCCAAAAGTAAGGTTTTGATTTTTTTTTTTAATTTTAACTTACTGGTCAAAAGATCTGTTGGTTTACATTCAATTTTCAAAACCTAAGTAGAAAATACAGTACTGATTTAATTTAGTGTAAAACCAAAATGAATTTGTTAATATTTATAGTTTTTTGTTCACTGTAATATAAGAAGGTTATTTAAGGCTGATTGTGTGAATAGCCAAAGAGGTTACAATCTTTAGCAGATGGTGCTAAAAATTTAAAGCTTTTCTGTGGAAAAATCCTTCTCCAAAAACTCTCAAACAGAAGCAGATAGAATTCTTTTTGTATCCAAATTTTAAAAAATTTGTAGAAAAGTACAAAATTTGATTTTAAACATTTAGAACCAAACAGCTTTTTGTGTCCATCTGCTTCCATTTGAAAGGTTTTGGAAAAAATTTTTCCATAGAAAAAGCATTAAGTTTTTAATGTCATCTGCTGGAGACTGTGCATAATCAAATAGGTTACAATCAGTCTTCATATACAACTGACATATCATCATTTTATTGTTATTTGTTAAAAAGACATTATAAAAACAGGGTAAAAATAAGAAATTAGAAACCTATAAAAGCTATGCCAGCTAAATTATATTAAATATTTTTAAATTATAAAAAATAAAAATACTTCTTACCATAAGCAGAGCTAAAGAAACTTGAAATATTGTATCCATTTCCTATAAAAAAAATTACATTGTTATAAGTTAAAACTTACCACAAAAAATATGAAGGTTTAGTCTTATAACTTACATTTAGAAGAAACAAATCAAGGATGTAGAATACTACATTGAGAGGAAATTTAGCAGTAAATAAAGTCAAAAACCATTGTGACCCAAACATGTGCGCTTCTATTCCCAAATTTCCAAAATGATTGTACAGATCAGGCATCTGATCCTAAACAATTTAAATAAAATTATTATAGGAATTATTAAAGAAATTACTTTAAAATAAAAACACAGAGGAGTACATACAGTATATTTTTAATACAATGTTTCTAATAGTTTAAATTATTAGCGAAGTTAAGGCCGAAGTTTTAAATGTGAAAACATATACGTTGGACATTCAGCGCCACTTTCCTATAAGCCTAGAAGTTTGACAATGGTGTTTGGATAGTCAGTGGAATCATGCTCGACGTCCCAAACATCATTGCCAAACTTCTAGGCTTATAGGAAAGCAGTGCTGAATGTCTGACGTACACGTTTTCGCATTTAAAAGTTTGGCCTCAACCTCACTAGTACTATTCAAATCAATCAGTGCCTTATTTGCTATTTCTTCAAGTTATATATTGAGGGGTGAGAGCAGGCAGCCTTGTGTTACCCCTCTCTTCATTGTTATCTTGTCTGTGGCAAGACTATTGTATTTTACTATTCTGTTAGTGTTGTTTAAATGATTTGCCAGAAAGCACAGAATAGTGTTATCTATAGGTTTTTGTCTCAGAATCTCCAATAACTTTTCTATGTTGATTGAGTCAAATGCCTGTTTAAAGTCTATAAAGTAAAGTACATATAATTTATGATTATATTTCCAGTAAAGTTCTGCTGGACTGAATAAAGTAAATATTTGGTCAAAACTATTAAAACTTACCGATGATTGAGAATTTACAAAACACGATGTATAATTTAAAGTTATTGTAATTTAACAAATTTTTGAATATCATATTTCTGCACAAATAAGAGACAAAAACCTAAAATTAAAATTGAATTTCATTTGAAACTTTTGAAGAAAATTGAAACTGTTTCAATTTAAATTAAATGTGAATGTACTGATACTGTAAATATTCAGTCATATATCTATGGTAATCATTACTAAAAATGCTTACAATACTATAAATGAGTGTTTGCATTAATATATAACAAAGTCTCATAATTGAGATTTCTGTAATTTATGAAGAATATTAATAAAAACTAGCCACAATAAATTATAAATTCAAAGGTTTAAATAAAAGCTAAAATCAAACTTTTAATACTGCATAATTTGATGTTAATACTATACCTCCATCAATCTTTCTAATTGATAAAATTTCAAATGTAATTCAGCAAAGCTATCTCTAAATAAATCACGTAAATGATAGTCAAACATAATCTTCATTGTTACGTTAAAAGCTTGTTCTTCTGGCATCTGAAATAAGAACATAAAATATATACTCATTCATGTAGGACACACTTTTTTTTTTTATAAAACAATAATTTAATTTTTGATTTTTTTCTAATTGTTATCATAAATATACTTAAAGTTTAAATCTGTATTGTTTATCCAGTTTTTTCATGTAAATCATTTAACCCACAGCCCCAACATACAATTGTTTAAACTGTGATAAATTATTAGGTATCAGGAATAGGTAATATTTGGACAGTTTTCTATTTTCCGATAAGTATTTTGGTTATGATAAAACTGACTGTCAACCATGTCATTTTTTTTTATAGAATATCAGGCTCATGGAAAAGTTTTATTAATGTATTTTATGGCATATAATACTTGCGTTTTGGGGCCTATTTTTTGGACATAAGTCATCTGTCTCTTATATGTGAAGTGTCTAATAAATTTCCCAAATTGTATGTATGATCTATTATGATTAACAGTAAATTTTAGTTGTAAGTAACTTCTTTTAAACTCCTCTTTTAAGTTTTTTTTTACTACTTTCTTGGCTATCAAGGAAAAGAATTGAAATCGTATCAAATTTTACCCTCAGTTTTTTGCAAATCTCCACATTTTGAGACACCTTAACCCAAAAAAGTAAAAAAAACCTGTGTGTGTATATTGGTGTCTATTTTGTTTAAAATCTCAAGATGAAGTAAAGATTAAGAAATAACATTTGGCAGGGTAGCTTGTGTATAGGGGCATTAATGCTATTAATTAAATTTTTGTGATGAAAGGTCGAGAGGGAAAGGCGGTAGAGGGGAACACGTGTCATATTTTGCATGGGGTTGGATATAATGATTTTACTTGTTAGCATTTACAGATCTTAATTTTGACAGTAGAGATGAGTTTTATAAAGTCCATTATATATTTTTAATTATTGTTATAAAAACTTTGCTATTTTATAACATCTCATAATACTACATATAATTTCAATTTCTTTTTAATTATTAAAATCTCATAACAGCCAGGAAAGTTATGTAACTTGTTGCTAAATTTTTTATTAGTGTGTATTCAAATTTTTTTTCTTAGTCCCAAAATTATTTTATTGTATTCTGGATAAATTGCCAAAAGCATGGGATGACTTAATTGCACTAAATATTCAGTGCTGAAATGGGGATGTGTTTTATATGCTGTAAAACACAGTAATTAAAACCTGCAGTTTTCTTTGAGTTTTGATTTTCAACATCTTATGAAAAATGTCTGAATTTTCTTTAACGAACTATTTCTTTGTTTTATTAAACTTCTGGAAAGACAGCTAAAACTTGTTTTTGGTCACAGTGGCCATCTTAACATTAGAAAAATGCAGTGTGATTCTTCATTGATTCTTTCTTTTGAATGAATTTAATGTTAAAAATGCTATACTTTTTTAAATTTAAATGCTTTGTTTCCAGGCTCTTGTGGCTGATAAAATATGCAGCACTACCAAAGTACTATTGTCAATATAAAGTTTGTCATTTATCAAGATAAAATCCAGTCAGTCAAACATTTTTTTATTTTTAGGCAACACTATTCAACAGCTTCAAATTGGAAGGAAAAGATAAAAAAATAATTTAGGTCATCACAATATCATATTCCAATTGATGTAATAAAAAAAATTGGAAATTAATTTTTTTTTCCTTTTGGTCTAAAAATTTTGGATTAAATGGATTTCAGACAGGAAATGACATCACATTTTTTTTTCTGGACTATTTTCTGATAAACCAAGTTTAAGAGGATCAGTTTCTCTGTGACAATTACATCTGAAAATGATGAGCAAAATATTAAATTGTCAGTTACGAAGCCTTTGTAAGTTTCCAGAATGTTCCATTGCCCATTAGGCCTGGAGGGACAAACCCAGTGGGGGAGCAGAAGGGGTATATAAGGACTAAGGGTTGAGAGAAGTGCTATTGTAGGAAGAATACGAAGGTGACCAGTGATGACAGGACTGTGCAAAGGAAGAGTTATGAAGTTGACGGACTGGATTATAATTGGCAAGACAGTGATTATACGAAATGAGTCTTTGAGGAACCTCTCCTGTTTTAGTGTTTTCCTTCCCTGTAATTTGATTGTATACTAACATTATTGTTTTGTGAAAAATTTTTGCAGATTAGAATAATACATAATTGTAATGGAAATCTAGAAAAGTAATATTTGAATAGCCTCTGAGTAGTGTGCACATTGGATTTTATGTTAACTCAACTTCATGTTCAGAAAATAAAAACTTACATCTCTATCTACATATTTTTATAAACATGATAAACAAATTTTACACAAAATCTATTATTGCTTCTAGTTCTATATAATTTTATAACTTCAGTATATTCTGCAATTCATTAAACAAAAATTTTGTTTTTCTCTATGACTGATAATTTAGGCTCAAAACTTAGAAGTGTCTATGGCATGAATTAATATAATATAATATACTCCAAACACCAAAAGAAAATAGTGAATGATTCTTAGATACCATTTCTGCTATTAAAATTAACAATAGATTGTTTTTATTTCAATATTATAACACCCTTATTTTGTGAAATTAACAATTTTTTGGCTTTTTAAGCTCCAATAGCATTAAGAAATCCTTTTTTCCACTTAACCACCTGGTGAAACCCACAATAAGGATGAGACCTGACATGAGACAGACTGCATACAAAAAATTCCTTGATGCATGGTGCTATGGCCATCAAATAACTGAACTACCAATTAAAAACTGTGCAATTATGAAAGTCTGTAATGACACACAAATTGAATGAATGTGTAACTGCTGTAATAAAATAATGATTTGTTAATAAACCATAATTTTATGGTTGTAGTAAATGTCTATGGATGTAGTAAATTGAAATTTATTATCCAAAATGAATCCCAAAGCCAAGAATCATCACTATTCAAACTAGCAGTAGATTGATTTTATCATCAACCTGAAAAATCAAACAGAATATGAAACTCTTGTTTCATTACCTGTTAGAATACATTTCAATGTTACAAAAAAGAAAAAAGCTGACTATGAAGTGCTGTAATGAATTTTTCAATTACTTGAAGTTTATTGATTATCTATAAAATATTGTTTCAAACCTTAAAATAGTTAAAACTTTATAACTTGGAATATCAACAAATCTATTTACCATTTATTATATACAAAGCTTTAGGATATACAGTAGACTCCACATCTGATCCAATCAAAGACAATCAAAAATTTTTGAAAATATTGTATTCTACTCCAAATCTTACCATTCTGTACTGCAGTGTGTACATTTATAAAAATTTTTTTAAGGTAGCTTGATGTTTGTAAATGAGTTCAATATATGAACCACTGCTGACATGATAATGATGAAACATTGGTGTGATGTAGCAGCTTGTCAGCAAATTGAGAATAACAAAACAAACAAGTTTAACACAATACTTTCAAAAATAAGCATCAAAGTTATAACAAACATGCTTTATGTGCATATGTTACGGTCTTGTTTAAAAATTATATCACTCTCCCTTATCCAGGTCATTTCCACCCACATTAGTTTGGATATGGGAGAGTCTACTGTATTACTAGTGAATAAACTTGATCATTCTGAATTAATATATTTTCTTACATACAGGGTGAGTCAAAAGTACTGAAGATGTATTAAGGAAGCTGGATGGTGCATTTTTTGTAGACCTTAAATGATTTTCAAAATCACTTATGTTGTAACTTTTTAATGAGCAGAGGTAACATAAAAGTGACAAAGTTAGAGTGCCATTTAATTATCCTAAAACCATTTCGGCTGGAACCTTTAAATTTATGAAAAATAAAAGGTTCCATCTGATTCTTAACTTTCTATGCAACTGCATTAATATATCTTCAGTACTTTTGGAATGAAAAGGGTGCAAGGGACTTTTGACTCACCTTGTATATACAGTAGAACTTGGGTAATTTGAAGATGAAGGGACTGCAAAAAAATTCTATTCAAAACTTTGAAGTAAACAAGTTGGAATATTGGCATTAAAAATATGTATATAAAATATAATACATTACAGCAATGTTACATAAAGTACTTTTGTCAATTTATTTTTTAACCTTTATATTAGCAGATTGGGCATTTATCGACTCATGAATTTCACAGAACTTATCTATTACAGCATTTCCTAGAAGGATATATGCAAGCTAATTGAAGTTCTAATTCACATATTTTCTACTAGATAACCCTAGTTATAGGTTACCATGTTTATGTTGATAATTTTGTCTCAAAAAAATCCTATAATTTTTGAACAGCGAAATAACTGGAGAGAAGAGGAGGATGTGCAAGGAACACATGGCAATACCCAAAGAAAACAGAAAATTGTAATTTTGTACTAGTTCATATCTGTGATTTGTCATGCCACCCATAATTTTGTACTGATAAAGGCAGACAATCTGATATCCAAAAAATGTTGCTTTCAACATCCATAGCCAGGATGATGTTGCAAAGCTGGACTCTTGAGAACCATAAGGAGACAAGAATCTCTCTAAGAAAGAGGAGTCTCAATGTGTAGCATAAAAGAAAGAAAAAAAAAACAGGGTCAGAACAGTCTCCATTAATTAATTGTAATAGAGTTGACTGCAAAAAATATAAATATATATAGTGTTTACATATTTGTTTCAGTTTTCACTTTTGATGAAAACTGATATATAGTAAAACTAATTGCTTCTTTTCTTTATATATTTTTTATACAAGTCTTGCTGAAAACAGTGCTGTACCAACTTTTTATAGATAAATTTAATACATATTTTTTGGATTAACAAGTTAACTACTATCTGACAAGCTGGCGGTCATACTAATTAGGGCCCTGCGGAGCCATATGGTGCACCGGCAGTCATAACAGTTAGGGCTGTTCAGCGTCATAAGACCGCTGGTGGTTGGAGCCAACTTTATAGATGTGTGGGAGAGGCCACCACTAGTATGTAAAACGTCATCTTACAAAGCCAGGATAATTTAACCTTGAGTGAAACACATTGGTTATAGCAACATCAGGCAGTCGGATTGCTCTGTATGGCCCTAATTAGTATGACCGGTGGAGCATCAGATAACAGGTTAAAGAACAGAAAATAAAAAGAAAAACGCTAAGTACTTGAAGATGCTAAGTGATTTACCTAGTGGTAAAAACAGCAGCATTAAAACTACTGCACCTGTACTATTATTCATCTACTCTGGAAAAAAAAAACTAATTATACAATCAGGAACTTCAGATGTTTTCCCACATCCTGTGATCTCCCTTCCTTAAAGTTAAAAGCTTTGACTTACTTAAAAATTTACCTAAGAAACATGCTGTAGACTGTATTCTAGAATTTTTCAAACATTAGATAAAATGTCTGTTTGGGCACTAAATATTCCAAGTTCATTTTTTTAAAAACTGCTCATTAAAAAATTCCTCTAATCACTTTTATAGGAAATTCAAGGGTCCAGAGGAAATACAGGGGGTGATCAGTTAATGAACATAATCTGTTCAAAGATGATGTTCATTACCCAAACAGTTTGTTAATCAATTATTGATTTACTATAGATTTTTGTGGGAATTTGACTCATTCATTCTGGATATACAAAAAGTAAATAATTATATAATTTATTATTATGTGTATGTATGCATTATTGTTATTACATATAAACAGTCTTGCATTTTCATCAGTCATGTTTTTTCTATTTGTAGGGCATTAAAGAATCTGTCCAATGTTGATTGCTTTTCTCTCTTCTTCAGGATTTTTCAGAAGTGATTAATAATATTGTCGTTGTAGAGATCCCCAAGCCTACTGACCTCAACCTGGTTTGGATGCTATTCTAAGACCATTGTTCTGACATCCTCCCACTTCTTCAAAAGATCTTTAATAGCAGATGTCAGTATTGGGTTTCTTTTTCAGAAGAGAACACATCTCGCTGAGTTTTTTGATGTTCTTCATTCAAGAGTTCAAGTTCTTCTGTCGTCAGATCATTTTCATGTTCCATTATGAGTTCTTCAATGTCATCTTCATTCAACCTCAATTCCAGATCTCTAGCAGTTGTCACAACTTCATCCATAATTTCAGGAACATCAACCTGTCTCCAAATGCAGAATGGACACAGCTTTTGCCAAGCAGAATTCAACTGTCATTGAGTGACTTCTAACCACATCTTTTGAATGAGTTGGATAGCTTCAAGAACATCAAATTTTTCTTTCAAAAATATTTTTAATGTTATCATTGAGAAGAACTGGCATGCTTCAAAACACCAAGGAAACGGTGCACGAATGTACAATTTCTTGAAACCCATAATGACCTCCTGATCCATTGGCTGAATCAACAAAATAGTTCAGTTTCTGCCTCCAAATACTATCAGCCAGGGAAAGTCTTCCAGCAAATTATCTTTGGGTGTCCTGGTGCACTGTCCAATAGCAACAGTGCTTTCAATGGCAATCCATTGATCTGAAGGTAATCTTTGATGCTTGGATCATAAACTTTAAATGGCCAGTCTTTGAAAAAAGCCTGCCTGACCATGCCCTTACAATTGACCTCACATCACTGGCAGTCTTTCTTTAATTATGGAATTTTTTTGAATGCTCTAGGGTTCTCAGAATGATGGACAAGAAGAGGTTTAAGCTTCATATCACCACTAGTGTTAGCTCCCAAAAGTAACATCAATCAGTCTTTCATGGGTTTATGCCAGAAATATTCTTCTGATCTTTTGTGATGTAGGTACAGTTTGGTTTATTTTGGAAGTGTATACCAGTTTCATCACAACTGAAAATTTGTTGTGGACAATATTCTTCCTTGAAATTTGAGACAGACTTTCTCACCTTCTTTATCTGCACTAGCAGACTATACATTACCAGATCTCCTTCTAAACTTTAGAAACCACCCAGAAAATTCTCTCTCCTCATGTAATGAATGTGGAGTTTTTCTTCAGTTCTTCAAAAATTTCTCTACCCTTCTCTTGAATGATAGTTAACCCTCTTATCATTTCCCTTTCTTTTGTCCAAACTAAATGCAAACCCTCCATTTTATCATGAATGGCATATCTTTGTTTCTCAGATGTGATTTTTTGTTACTCCTCTAGCTGCTTGAGTCTTCTTGATTATGTCTTTCTTAGCTAGACTGTGCCAACTGTAAACCTGTTCAAGCCCTACTGCCTTGTAACATCAGACATCATCTGCCCACTCTCTATCTCGGCTATTATCTATGTTTCTATGGCAAGCACAGTTCTTGACACTCCACTCTTTTTAGACCCATAATATTATCAGTTTTCTGAACTTTTTATTTTAAAAGAAAAGCACTTACAAAAATTTAGAGAACAGAAATAAACTAGCATACAAAAAGGTTATGTATACAACTGTCAAAGGCTCATTCCAGAAACCATTATGACAGTAAAAGACAGTTCTATAAATCTTACACACAGCATCACTTCTTCCCGTGTTTGTTCTGTGAGATGTTTGTTATCCAAACATAAAAATCTTTCGCAAAAGTGTTCATTGTCTGATTTGTTCACAGTCTGAACTGTTTGTTAACTGATCACCCACTGTATTCAAATTATCCAAGTTCTACTGTGTTATACACAATTCAATATGAGATAGTTAATTGTCATAAAAGTTAAATCCATCATTTTATACTAAAAAAATGACTAAGAATAATGTAATGTGTTCTAACTTACATGTAACAGTAGAGCAGCAACAAGAAATGAAAGTCCCTGACAATAACCAATTTCTTTATCATAGACTGAGTAAGCCTGCAAAAAAAAAATTTGTTTGCCATTTAAAAATTTTTTCTATACGACACATTATATTAAAATTCACTACCAAGAACAAAATTTGTATAAAACTATTACAACAATTTATACAGTGCTGAAGAATTATTATTTTATTAATATATGAAATTATAAAATTTACTTCATAAAATTTAATTTATTAATAAAAATAATTTTACATTACCTAGCCAATTTGTATGTGGTAAAATTTCTTATGAATAAATTTTCTAATAAATAATCTAATTCAACTTGAATAATGATTTATTTATTACTTAAAACTTTTTCTATTCTGAAGAAGAGACTTTTTCTTTAGAAATAACTGCTTGAACTTTGAAGTTTTGAGTTTTTGCAAAAATTATATAAAACGTTTTCAACGTTATCAATTACCTTACAAATCCTATACAACGCTTCTTGGCCAGCTCCTCCATTTTCTTTAAAAAATTCATGTGCCGGGAAAGTCCTATTAATATCCCTCTGAACAGCATTTTCACATGATGAATTCTAACAAAATAAAAAGCATGTGACAGATAGCTAAAACTTAATTCATACTTTTATTTATTCTTTCATTATATTCGTGCTTATATATGAAAGTCCTTCTAATTTGCATTAAATAAAGATAAAGAACATATGAAAATCAAACTTAATTTTAAATTAAAAAAAAAACTCTACTTATTATGAAGAGGAACATACAATACACCTATATATAATATTCTGTAGTTTGAATAATAAATACATTATACTTGTAAAAATTTTATCTACAAATAGCAATGAATATATTTAAAAATTTTTTAGCAAATATGTGCTAAAAACTAATCTTAAGCATGCACACAAATTGAATGATATATATATTTTTCCTTTTAATTGTTGAATCAGAAAATAGCCACGTATAATAATTTCAGGCATTTGTCAACTTGTATCTGACTTGCTACTCCATGTACAAGGTAAAATGTCAATGGTGCATTAGTTTGTAAAATTCGAAAGTTATTTTATATTTGTCACAAAAACAAGAAACATTAAAAAAAATTAAATTATACCTGCGTAATGAGTTTCTGATACATCTCTACAGCTTCGTGATCGTTGTAGCATCTTGCTAGAAGCTGCCAAACTTCACCCCTGAGAGCTTCCGGAATACCCTTTTGTACAAGAGAGGCTAGTTGTTTTGGTCTGTGCTTTAGATTTTGCCTCCACTTGTTTAAAACTTCTGCCCATCCTTCCAGCTCACCTTCAGTACAATCTTTGCTCACCTCACCAGTACCACTAAGAAGGGGCTCATCATTATCTGTAAAATATTCATTTCAATAGAAATTGATTATACATAGTATAATTTTTATTTATATAATTATCATCTTTAGATAAATAATTAAATTTTTATGTACTTTAGACATGTAGTGTATGTAAATTAACAGTTGCATGAGTTGTAAATAGGGCAATGATGCCATTCATGTTAGGATCTGAGGCAGTCATTACTTCTCTCAATATAACAAGTGATGCAGCATTTTAGCTAAGAGATCCATGATGGATATACTACTAGTTTCTGTAATAATGAACTAAAAATAATTTTTATACAGGACAGTTTACTTATTAAATTAAGAAATGACAAGGCATATTTTGTGACAATTTTGAATTTAAAATTTTTTTGAAATACATTATGACTGTTTATAGTTGAGCATTTTCATTATTAAAATCAATTGAAAACCTTTTAATTTTTAAAAATCAAACCAATATATTTCAGATTAAAATGCAATAATTAAAATTTTCATTTAGTTATAAAATTTTCTTTTAGAAAAATTCTTTTTGGCATACATGAATGTTTTTTTCATATTACATTCCAAATTAACATACTGCAATAATTCAGAAATAAATTACAGTCAACCCCCCTATAATTACGGTCCCAATAATTACGATTCCTATAAAACTGTGAAAAAATTGTGACAGTATCCGTAAAAAACAGTAAAAAACCCCCTATAATTACGTTAAACGTCATCGGGCAGCCGAACTACTTTCCCGCCGTCCGTAGCGCCACGCTACGGAGAGATTTCTATCGTCTGGACAGTATTATATAAATTATATATAAATTAGGTACTGTACATATAATTATATATTAATTATATATAAATTAGGTACTGTATATATAATTATATATTAACTTATTGTAACTTTGTTATAATTAAATATATAATTTCCGCCGTCTAGCGTGGCGCCACGCTACGGAGATTTTTACGCTAACTATCGTCTGTCAGTATGTAAATTAGGTACCGTAAGTCTAATACAGTACTGTAATTTTATACATTTCTTGTGAAAGAAACATTTCTTATTCAACGGCGATTAAAATTATTTATATTAATGATGTCTCCGAAGTTCTACGAAGTTTTCACAGAAAAATAAGTTGTTAGAAATCGGCCGCTCTTTGCTGAGCTGTTCCGCGACGAAAACAATGTTGAGCAATGGCAATGTCGAATGGTGACACTCGGTAAGTAATCCTACAATTTTTTGTTTATAGCGTAGTTTATACGGATTATTTCCAAAAAAAATATACGTATTTTGGAAATGTTGAGTCGGATTAGTCTAGAATCGATTAATTTTATGGAAGAAAACCTTTCAATCAGCCGTAGTCCGTAAACTTGACACGTGTCGGGCTGTGATTGAAACGACTCGTAAGAAATCGGATTCCTAAAAAATGGAACGTATCTATGATCTTATAGGGAGGTCTACTGTAGTTCATTTTTGAAAGTTAAATACAGTAGAACTTCAGTTATTGTATTTTTCTTTCATAGCAAATCTTATAGTTAATAAATGTCCTAGCACATAAATACTGTAGTACTTTTAAACACTTGACTGTACCATGTGAGTGATCAAAGAGTTATCAATCATTGGAATATATGCACAAGTTACTCATCCCTCCATAGCCTCCTGTTTATTTGGCTGTTGTCAGTCTGTTGCCAGCATTGTTATGTCTGCCAGTGTATTGATGTGTGCTGTGGTAAACATCCATAGCTATCTGTTTTATCCAAGTTTTCATTCATCTGAGGTAGTGTCAATCCACAACACAGTATAACCCTAATTATATTGATAGACTGTAGAACATTTGACTTAAATTAATAACAGGACCTTACCTGAATCTGATTCTTTCTCTGCATTCTCTGATGATTTTTCATCAAGTTTGTGGGATTTCTTTAAATTTAATTTAAGAGATGCCCTTTTCCTCTGTAGTTGGCTAGCATTATATAGATGAACAACATTATATGCAAAATCTCCACCTGCGTTTACTTCAACCTATAATATAAAAGACTATTACTATAAACTAAAAAAACAATATATATTTATGCATTTAAAAAAATAAAGGATGAAATAAAAAAAAAAAAGAATTTAACAGTTACTTTCCAACTAATACAAAAAAAAATAGTGCATATGATTACATGTTTAATTTGCTTAAATTAAGGTAGCAATTTTTCGCTTCTCACTTGTAAATATGCTTTATGTAATTGCTATTTCTCAAATTTGACAATTCTGAAAAATCCTGTAATACAATCTTCTCTACAAATGCCAAATTTTTATGTCACACAGTCAAACCTCGGTTTATGAACTTAATTCATTCCTAAAAGTTGTTCAGAAACCGATTTGTTCTCAAATTGAAACAAATTTTTCCACGAGAAACAATGTAAAATGGATTAATTCGTTCCTGACCCAAAACAAAACCTTTTTTCCCCCCATCTATCTATCTATCTATATATATGAAAAGCAAAATATTCCATCACCACCAATTGAAAACAGAACTGAAATTAATACTTTACAAAGTGCTATAAACAGAGACTCAACTCTGACTGCCAAGATGAAATATAACCAAATCTATCAAGACTGATAAGTACTTTAGCCACACATTCCAAAATATTGTGTTTCAATTGATTCAATTTCAATTAATTTTATTTTTGGTGTAAAGGCCAGTTTTAATTATAATTAAATTTAAAAATAATAAAATAATTAGTTTTAGTTTAACTTAAGCATATTTAAATAAGAGTTATTGAATGTCATTTATATTAATTAATTTGATTTAAATCAGGGCTGTGGAGTTGCATAAAAATCTACCGACTCAGACTTTTCCTTACCATCCGACTCGGGGCAGACTTGTTACCTAAAGAGACCCAAAAATTCTGATGTCATCACGTGATCTCAGAATAAAAGATTCAATAAATAGAGTTCTAATAAAGATAGAAGAGTCTTTTAGCTTTGGAATAAAAAGTTTCTATGTTCTAAGTAATGACAATCAATATATAAATATGTATTCGATAATTTTTATTTTTCCAGCTGTTACATATAACAGAGGGAAAGTGTAGTGCTGCTTTGTCAAAAAATGACCCCCCCCGAAATTTTTACATTTTTGCACTCAGGACACACTGAAATTTCAAGATAGAAAAACAATCTTGGATGTTAGACTGTGTGGGAGGAGGGCATGATTATGTTCACCCTGTTTGAAGCCTAATAATTTCTGTGGGTTTTAAATCAGTCAGATGGTTTAACACAGGAGTTAGTTATTAAGCGTCAAAGTGGTTGAAAAAAATCGTGTACCCATACACATTCTAACATCTTAGGCGAGAACATCTTAACGGGTTTTACTGTACTGTTATAAAATGAAAAAAAGCTTATTTTGAGGGTAGAGACAAGTTTTATTTTTATTTTTTAAATTTTGAACGCTAATAATGAGTAAAATATTCATAGAAGGGGTCATGTGTCATATTTCTTAATGTCTTCACTCTGTCAACTTTAATTAAGAACCAAAATTTAATATGCAAGCTACAGTGCCAAATTTCATTTCTTAAACTTTACCCATTCTGAGATATTAAACAAATTAGATGCCAACACAACTGTGCATTTCCCCTTTTATTGACTTTTTTGGGGTTCAGGTGGTCTCCAAATGTGTAGATTTGCAAAAAAAAAAAAAACAAAAACTTGGAGGATCAAATTTGACACAATTCCAATACTTTTCTGTTTTATATACATAAGTTGGAAAGTAAAAGGGAGTCGGAGTCGGAGTCAGTGGATTTTTGGATGACTCCGACTCCACAGCCCTCATTTAAATTCAATTTCCATACTTGAAAAACAGAAATAGTATCTTTCTCATATGTGCATTAAAATGTAATTTAAATAACATCATTGATGATTAGTGGTGCCAAGCTTGCCTCACATCATGTAACTAACTTCTGAATTGGTAGTCCTGTTGTTGATTGGTCGGGCCATCCACTTTCTTTAACATAGGAAGTTGACCATTTATGCATTTAAAAAATAAAGGATGAAATCAAAAAAAAAAAACAAGCTACTTGGCTTTGCCAAGTAGCTTGTTTAGAAATTGAGTTATCATTCAATAACCAGAACAAATATGGCATTCAAAATTGTGTTCATAAACCAAATTGTTTGTAACCAGAGGTTTGACTGTACATTGTTTACAGAATAATGTCCTTTCAAGACTCCCTTGAGGAGCCTTTGAAACATGAGAACATGGGTTAATGTGAAATTAATTCAGCTGGAAATAAACTATGGAGGTTGAGGTGCTTCTCAAAAGAACAAAAATAATTCTTCTGCACTTTTTGGGTGCAGAAGAATTATTACATTTATTGCAGTGTACTTAGGTATATCTTCAGCTAAGTGTTTTATTGTGTATATTAAATATATTTTGTGGATGTGATATTTCACTGCTGTAATTTTCACTTTACTCACTTTGTCACAAATCTCACAAAAAAATAAGTTTTTTAAAAGTTCCTGAAAACATCAAAATTTAGGTACCTTATTCCATAGAACTCCTCAACTGGAAAACATACACTACGTATCTGATATTCCAGTAGAATGGAAAATAGAATGAAACACACTATTAAAAAATATGCACTGAAGTTAATGTAAACTTTGTCAAAAAAGTTAATCCTGAATTTCTGAATAAAAATTTGATAATTTGTTTTCAAGTCTTTTTTTTGTATTGATGTCTGAAAGTGGACATCCTATTTAAGTTTATATAAACAATAAACCAGTTTTTCAGCAAATTTCATGTCATGTAAATAAAATAATTAAAATTTCTTTAGAGAAAAAAAGCAAAGTTAATGTATCAGATTTATTTCCTGTAACAAAAATTTGAATTAAATGTAAAATAATCACTTACTTCCTTTAATTTTAAGTAGAATTGTTCAATATGAGACTTTTTATTAAAATACCAGAAACGTTCATTCTGTGGAAGAATCTTTGCTTTTGTTTCTATAACAAATCGTACTGGTTCAGAAATGCCTTCGATAACCAAATCGGCAGCAACGGTCATATATACTCTTGTATCTAAAATATTTAAATTTCTTAAATAATTCCTATTGTATAGTGGTAAAAATAAGAATTTTAATTTTTCATTAAAAATACAAACTTTAAAAACAATAAAATTCAATTATAACACTTAAAATATAATGATACATGATTTGACACCAAAAGATAAATATAGCATGCAGAAAATAATTTTTGTTTATCCAAAAGTTTATTCTAAACATTCTAGAAAATCAAAGTTTGCTCTAGTGCTTAGTTACATGTCGATAGCATAAGCCTATCAAATATTTCATAAATGGTAAGCAATTACAGTGTCATTCTGTTAACCAGGCATTGTTGGTACCAATACAATGCCAGGTTAACTAATAAACCAGATATAAACAACTTTTTTACATAATACGTTTAATTAAAAAAGTATCATTTTTAATCAATACTGTATAAGGTTAATAGTTACCTTTTGGCGTCTCCTTATTTAATACTTCAAATGGAGGCTCATTTGGATTCCAATGACCAGTAAATTGAGTTACAGTTTTAGATCCAACAGATGATTTGTTAAATGAAACCTAAATTATTATCCTTATAATTAATCCTTATTAAAAATATATTTTAATAAAAATAAATTTATTTGTTTGTTAAAAATACATATTTTTCTTCAATTGCAAAAATAATAATAATTTATAAAACAAAATATAACAGCAAATTATAATCTTGTTATTGCAGAAATTATTAAGAGGTAAGTGTGAGAAATATAAGTAGAAAGTGACTGTCTCCAATATTCTAATAAACTAAAAGAAAAATTAAAATTTCAATCATTGCATTGCATCATATTGATTCAATTGACTAATTACACTAAATTTCTTTTGTAAGTATAATTATATTTTTAATGTATATGTGTATATATATATAAATAACCAAAATTATCATTCAACTTTTTCTTTTGAAATTAATAGTTAGTTATTAATAAATGAATCATTATTTACAACAACAAATAAAAGAAAAAACCTCTCTTAGCTATGACTAATTACAAAAGAAATGCAATTACTATTGACTAAGCTTTTTAATTATAAAATTAAGATAACTAACTAAGAAGCATACATTGTCAAATACAAACAAATCTAGTTTTTATATTTTAACATTTCATATTATGTCAAAACATACATACATACATACAAGAAAAATAATATTCACCATTTCAAGTAGCTGCATATCACTTTGTTTTACATTTCTTCCAGGAGATATAAGTAAACCAAAACATCTAAAAAATAATATTTATTAAAATTAATCTGTTATAATAGAAAATTTTAATTTTCAATAGATTAACAATGTAATTCTAGTCCCTGGATTTTCCAAATTTATCTGAGAATATGAGGATTGTTCTGAAAATAACACACTTTGCTTCTAACAGACAAAAACAAACTTTTTACAATTTTTGTACTGAAATCAGCAAAAATGCTCAATTTATTGGATTTTCTTGCAATTTTTTAAAATACATTCATAATTTTCAGAGCAATACTGTCATGTAAGCGGTCCTTGATGCCATTGTAGGTACCAAAAAACCATTTTGGATTTCAGAACAAATGCAGAGACACCTTCAGATGTCGTTTTGTAAACAATGTTGCCANTTGGATTTTCTTGCAATTTTTTAAAATACATTCATAATTTTCAGAGCAATACTGTCATGTAAGCGGTCCTTGATGCCATTGTAGGTACCAAAAAACCATTTTGGATTTCAGAACAAATGCAGAGACACCTTCAGATGTCGTTTTGTAAACAATGTTGCCAGGTTGAATTACTTTATAACACGTTCAGGTTTTTTTTAATTGATGAAAATAAAAATTATTAGTGTCTTGGCTATCTTTTGAGCTAATTTAATTTTATTCGGTAACCTTTTTGCTATTTTTTAATTATAGGTGACAGTGTGAAGTTCAGAAGTGTGTACAGCCTCAAGGTTTTATATTTGGCTATAGACTAGGAAATTTAATGGGTAAGCANAAAAATTATTAGTGTCTTGGCTATCTTTTGAGCTAATTTAATTTTATTCGGTAACCTTTTTGCTATTTTTTAATTATAGGTGACAGTGTGAAGTTCAGAAGTGTGTACAGCCTCAAGGTTTTATATTTGGCTATAGACTAGGAAATTTAATGGGTAAGCATAAATGTCCTGTGTCTCAACTTCTGTTGAAGTGGGTGAGTAAAGTGAAGTTAGCCGAGAGAGACTTCACAGTGAATGGCTCAAAAGTGTTCTGCAAGGTACGTCAAAATACATTTTTGTGCATGAAGAAATCACATTTTGAGGATCATGTGCATTCTGTAAGCAGCACGTCCCAGATGCTGCTCACAAGAATGGAAATTCAGGATCAAAAAAAATATTTTTCTTAGATACAGTGAAGATCTTTATAGGATACAATATAGAATTGAATAAACTGAAGCATCCCTTGCCCAGGAAGTACTTAGAAAAATACATGAAGCAGAATCTTCCTGATGAATCAACACTGTGGAAGAATTATCTTCCATGTGTTCATCAGGAAATGCTTGAAGAAATCAACAAAGAAATTAATGACAATGCTATATGGTTTGCTGTAGATGAAACTATAGATGCATTCAGACAATTTGTTGTTTTAATGATAGTAGGAAAACTTGACAGAAAAGACTGTGATAAAATTTATCATCTTTTATGTAAATTTCTGGAGAAAACAAATGCACAGGAGATAGCAAGATTTGTTCAGGAAGGTTTAATGCTGTTGTATAATTAAAGTTAGGTCATGCTTACAGAAGACTGTGCCTTCTGTAAGCATGACAAAAACTTTTATATATAATCTTATTCATATAACTTGCCTGAATTACACTTTACATTTTCTGGCTGAACAAGTTCATTTACATTTTAAAGATGTAAAAGTCCTCATTTGTTCCAGGAAGAAACTACTTGCAAAGACACCAATGCAAACTGCTATGCATCATGACTGTTTGCCAGATACTCCTTTCCCACCCTCACCCATACTCATGAGATGAGGCACTTGGATAAAAGTTGCAGTATTTTATGTGGACCATTTATGTGACTGTCAAACTTTTATCAATAAACTTGATGAATCAGAAAGTTCTTTCACTGTGGATGTTAAGGAAGCTTTGGAGAATCCACATTTAATTGCTTCTTCAGTTTACATCTGCACCCATTTGTTAAATTTTCCAGATATCATTAAAGCATTAGAAGCAAGAGGGTTGTCACTTGAAGAATCTCTAAAAAATTTTTAAACAGTAGAAAATTCTATACAAAACCTTCTTGGTTTATGTAGAGTCAAACTTTGCACGAAGCTTTTAGACAAGACCAGTGGTTTTTCTGTGCTTCGCCAAGTTAATAGCAGTCTAGTTGGAGATCCCTGAGGATGTAGGGCTTGCCAATGTACCTTTGATGAAATACTATCCTGTGACTACGTTCGAGGCTGAGAGAAGTTTTTCATTGTATAAAAACATTATTACTGGCTGTCGACTCAGTCTGACAGAAGAAAATATTAATAGATTCTTGTATGTGCATGGTCATATTCAAACAGTTTATAATATTGTATACTGCATTAATTAATAAGCAGATAACTGAAGAAAATTTGAATAATTTTGTTTTATTTTTATTATTATTTTTTGTTCTGAGAATAAATTCGAAAATGCAATCTTTTCAAAATATCAAAATTCTGATTGCAAAATTAAATGTTATAATTTTAATTGTGCAAACAGCCATCTTTGAAAGTCTTTAAACACTATCATACATATTTTCCAGAGTAATGTTATTAATGCATGAAACCATTTAATAACTCATTCATTTTAAAATTTGGTGCAATAACTACAGAATCAGTAAACTTAAAAGAAAAGAACTAGTTAAAGTTTACTAGTTCTTTTCTTCTAAGTTTACTGATTCTGTAGTTATTATTTTATTTTAACTTTATTATCAAACATTTAAACGTTTAGAAACTGTTTTATTTATGAATTATATAATTTGTTAAATAACATGTAAATTTATTATTCTAAACTAAACCAACTGTAAGAAATATTGCTTTTGTGAGATCCATGGGATCATCTCTTTTTAATGATATTAAAATTTAAAAAATATTTTATTGTATAAAAATATTGAGAGAAAAATTTTACAAAGAAAGGAAACTGCTGTAACTCGCTTCCTCATGAAGGGAAGTTGAACTTCCTTTCTACGTCCGACTCGCGAGATGATTCAGATGTGGCCTTTGCACATGTTACTTGGCCGTCTGAAGAAGCCGCTATAAAAAGGGATTTTTCCCACTATTCCGTGCAGTTCTCCATAAGAAGTAATTGCCACAAAAAGCGCAGTTCCTGGAAGAGAATTTGCCATGTAAGTTTAACAGTTTGAATTGGCCCCACTATGCCCTGTTCAAAGAAACTACCGGTTCCATTAGAAGATCCTCTGCATATGTATCTAACATTTATGAACAAAGAAAAGTATTGTTAAGGTAGTATAAATTGTTAGAACTATTGTAAACCCTCTCTGCATTATATAATTCATAAAAGCCCTCCTAAGAGAAAAAGTGAGCCAATCTTACAATTGAGTGTCATGTAAGTGACATTCAGTAAACCTAAATTACCCTATGCCCTTCACTTCTCACACTTTAATTTTGTTATTTCTGCATAATTTGTATTCATCATCATTAATAAAGTTTTGTAATGTATAAATTTTAATAATGTAAACTTTGTAATGTATAGGTTTTTAATTAATTTTTAATTTCAATTATTAAATTTAGAAAAGCAACAACATTCAGTTACAATAATCAGTTTAAATTATAAGAAAAAAATCTCAACTTACCTTTCTATAATTAATTCTTCATTATTACAGATTTGTTGCACTGTTATTGTAACAGTTTTTTCCTTTGTACAATGTAATTTGAAATAATCTTTTTCTTTTGGACAACAAACAAAATTTCCCTAAAAGTAAATTTATACATATTTAATATATATTAGTTCCTGATTTCAATTTACAGTAGAATCCCAATTATATATGAGGCAAATGTAAATGAATTCAGTGCTTTTCTTATAATTCATAAAAGTTTTTCATTAATGTACTGAGTGCACAAATAATTCTTTTATCAAAAGTTGTGTGAATTTTTAATCTAAACTTAACCAAACAAGTGACTGATACTGAGGTGTGGTACATTGTGGCAAAGAAAGGAGGAATTGCTATAAAACAAAATACTCTAGAGGACATTTATCATTAACTTCAATGTGAGACAAACCATTTGTAGTATAATGTAACTTACAATAATTCAAATTTATATTCTTAAAACCATGCATTAGTGTTGGATTTGGTATTATTTATTATTCAGATATATTTGGCCATAAATTAAGTAATCTGTATTCTAATAACTAAAAATGCATATTTGAATTTCAGACTGTAAACATCCTCAAAGCTGAACTACCTGGCCAAACAGTGTCATCTTAGTTAGGAGAGAGAAAAGAGAAGAAATAAAAAGATAAAATACAAAATAGAATAAAAATAAGATTCAAAATCTCAAATATTTAAAACATATTGTTATTTATTAATGTTTTTGTTAAAAAAAGCTTAGCATTGTTGGGTACATCAGCTTGTAACAAATAGTGTAATTCTCGTACATATGATTAAAGCTTTTTTATACCTTAGTGAATTTAAAGTGTAAAGTACACATAAATTTTTTATATTTGTAATTTTTAATCCAAAATAGCTGTGGCTATCTATTTTCCAAGCCTTCAGCTATCTGACATAGCATCAGTCCACATTACCCTGGATAATTAGGGTTCTACTGTATTTAGCAATAGCACTAACAACTAAAAGAGTTGTTATATCAAAATAAGAACTTAAAATGCTCATATATTTATATTAATATATTACATGTATGTTGATCATATACGTATGACAGTGTAAGAGTAATTGAAATTTTATACAGTTCTGAAAGAAACATGCTTGAAGTTATAAGAACTTTATATTCATAATTATTATTATTATTATTATTGAATGTTGTTTTTGAAACCGTGTTTGATAAATATATTGGACTTTATTTAAAACTCACGTTTGAATTCAAACACTTGGCTTTATTTCCATCTCTTTTTAGTTGATAAGTGTCAACTGTACATTTCGGGCATAAAGCCCTTCATCAGTCAACTAAAAGATAGATATTTTATGTAATATTTTAAATATTGTAACAGAACAGAATTAAAATAATGTATATTTCTTACCAAATCAATATTTAATCTGTTATACATACAAGGTCTTAACCCAATAGGTTTACACAACTTATTTTACAATAAGTGGAGTAATTCCATTAAAATCTGCGATAAATGACATTTTACTTATTTCACAATATCCAAGAATCATAGACTTAATCACGTGTATATCTCGAAAATAGGCGATTTTTTACATCATTGTTTTTTAACTGTATCCGTGTTACTGCATTGCAGTTTTGTACTGATTTGCATATTACAAAGATTATTAATATTAACAACAGCATTACTTTTATAAATAATTACAATCAACATTAATGTATATTGCATGTTTTATAATATTTTCATCCAGTTCTCATTTATTTTTACACTTAAATTTTTGTTGATACAATTTTTGGCTGTTAAAATTGAGATGCTTTCCTTAAATTTTTTATTATACATATTTTTTTCTTTGTATAGGATTTGAACATTATTTTTATTTATATTACAGTCATTTATTAATGTTCAAATGTTATACAAAGAAAAAAATATGTATAATAAAAAATTTAAGGAAAGCATCTCAATTTTAACAGCCAAAAATTGTATCAACAAAAATTTAAGTGTAAAAATAAATGAGAACTGGATGAAAATATTATAAAACATGCAATATACATTAATGTTGATTGTAATTATTTATAAAAGAAATGCTGTTGTTAATATTAATAATATCTTTGTAATATGCAAATCAGTACAAAACTGCAATGCAGTAAGTAACGCGGATACAGTTAAAAAACAATGATGTAAAAAATCGCCTATTTTCGAGATATACACGTGATTAAGTCTATGATTCTTGGATATTGTGAAATAAGTAAAATGTCATTTATCGCAGATTTTAATGGAATTACTCCACTTATTGTAAAATAAGTTGTGTACACCTATTGGGTTAAGACCTTGTATGTATAACAGATTAAATATTGATTTGGTAAGAAATATACATTATTTTAATTCTGTTCTGTTACAATATTTAAAATATTACATAAAATATCTATCTTTTAGTTGACTGATGAGGGGCTTTATGCCCGAAACGTACAGTTGGCACGTATCAACTAAAAAGAGATGGAAATAAAGCCAAGTGTTTATTTAAAACTCACATTTGAGTTCAAAGTCCATTATTATTAAAGTTTTGGTTAAATCATATTATTGTATTTCTTTTATCAAAAGTTGTGTGTACTTTATTTTTTCATTTGAACATGCCCTAATTTTATTTTATAATATGAACTCTCAAAGTCAACTAAACTATACTAATGTAGTGACCAAACTTTTTGTCAGCCACAAATATTTTGTATATTCCACAGAAATAACATTTTTAACATATTTTTAACATTTTAAAAAACACTTATAAGATATGTCAAGTATATTTGTGGGCTGGTTTTGGCCTGAGAGTCAAAATTTGGCTACTACTGTCATATTAGATACAAAAGAATATAAGTGACAAATTACCATTCTGAAAATTTTTTATAATTTTAATTCAGTTAACAACAATTGTCTCAGTTTATTTCAACTAAAAAAGAAACTTCAAATGATATATTCTAGGATTGTAAAACTTAAATATTTTCATAACACCTCACAATATTGTATTAAAACAAATAACTTTTTACATGTATTTAACTGATATTATGATAATTTATATCATAATATCAGTTAAATATCCTAGAATATATCATTTGAAGTTTCTTTTGTGGTCTTGATTACCAAGGCAGTTGGTGACTTTTCCTCTGCACTTCAATGACATGCAGTAAGCATGTGAGCTTGTTATTTTCAGTTATTTTAAATAGTAAAACAGTGAATAGATTTTAATTTATCCTATTATGCTTTGGAGAAAAATTAAATTCTGGATAAAATGCAATTCTCACTGGTAAAGCATGGAAGACCACCACTAAACAGCACCAAACTGAGCAGCAAGAAGGATCAATCAACTATGACTAATACTAAACTTATAACCGATTTTAATTTATATGTGGATGAAAACTCACAAGTCTTCAATCATTATTGATTCCTATATGGACATTATATCACAGAGTCTACAGAAATCCTCAGGTGAATCAAACATATTATGTTCTACCCCACTAACCAACCCAAACAATTCACCGGACACTTCAATGACAGCTTATGGAACAGGATCTCAAATTTAATAAATACCTCCAACGATAAACTCACTAATCAAATGACTTCCATAAAAGATGATCTTGACATGATTCATGATAGTATTCACAAAACTAAAAAACAGTATCAAAAAATGGAAGGACAAATTATATAATACTCATTCCATGATGTTGAAGTCTTTGCTACTCAGATGTCTTTTTGACATATCTTATACTTCATGCATGTTCTGAACTCTTTTACAGCCTTATTTTTCCTAATACATGCTTATTTAAAATTGTTTTCCTTCCACGTGCTATGATGCACAAAAGGATTTTTAAATAACATTCGAAAACGAAAAATCAGTTAAACCGTCAGAAATATTGTTCAATAATTTCGAAAATCCGAAATTTGTGAAACCGTCGGATTAGAGTTCAAAAATCTTAATCTGTTGTATTCGATAGACCGCCTGAAGACGACAGTTATATAATACTGAAAGTACTAGCAGATGACTTCATTTTCTAAAGTCGGACGAGTTCATTCTCCAAGACTCCACAACATGTAAGTGTTATAATCATATATGGACAAATTAATAATTTGAAACAACAAATTGATAACTTAAAAACAGAAAAAAACTCATACAGTTTAAAATGGATGCTTTACTTAATGAACTTAATTGTAATAATATAATATTGCATAATTATCCTACCTCGAAAAAACACCTCAAAACTAGAAATTTATAATTTTATAAAATCAATACTGGACTTACAATCTACGTCACAGGAAGATATTTTAGATATAATTCAAGTAACCAAGTCAACTAACCCAGTTATAAGATTAACACTCAGAAATAATTATACCCACAATCAAGTTTTTACTGTCAAAAAAAAAACATCAAAATTTGCTCGTAGATTGTTAAGTCTGATGAAATCTACATATTTTGCCAAAGGCCTTAAGAGAAAGATGAAAACATTTACTTCCAACCTATACTGAAATGAGGAATCAAAATCAACAAATAAAACTACACAATGACCTCTTGCTATTAGGCAGAGAAAGATTAACATATAGTGCTGGAACAGGAAAATTAGTTTATGTGGATAACATTTTGCCATTTTCCTTGCCAATGAAATTGAAAAGCTGATACAACCCAAATCAAAGAAAATCTCAATAAATCTCATAAAAAAAAAGTTACTATAGATAACAAATTGCTTTCTATAATGAATTGGAACTGACAAGGACTGAGAAACAAAATGTTATTGTTTAACTTCCTTCAGCTACAATTTAAACCAGATATCATTGGCTCAACTGAAACACGGATAAACCCCGAATTGTTCTACAAATCAAATTTCTTTTATGACTTTATAATAGAAAAAATACCAGCACATAAACCATTAGGTCCAGGTTGCCAAAGCAGAGGACTATGCATTGTTATAAGAAAGGATCTTTGTAAAAAACTGCAAGTCAAAAAACCAGATAACTTCATATTATTACTAATTACAATGAATAAACCTATACTCGAGAACATAAACAATAATTTAATGATAGTGATGGTCACTTATATTCTGCCCGACTGCCTAGAAAAACTAAAAGAAATCTTCAAAACACTAGAACTTTTGCAATACACCACATCGTATACCCTATTACTGGGAGACTTTAATTCACGAATTGCTGATGTGATGGACTCTTGGTATAACAGTCCTAATACCTTAATTCAAAACATCCACCAATCAAAAGACAAACATATCACTAGACAGGGCATAAATTTAATAGAAATAATAATTGATCAAAAAATGTATATCCTAAATGGACACATGAAATCTGATTACCCTGTTGAATATACCTGTATAGAACACAATGGAAAATCTACAATTGACTTTACTAGATGTTCAGAAATTCTACTTGACTGTTGTATGGAATTTATAACAACAAGCTTCGATGCATCTGATCACTTTCCTACATTGACAAAATGCGTATTGTTTTTGCAGGAAAAAATAAATAAATCAAATAACAGATACCAAATGATAAACTATAATGTCACAAAATACTCAGCTGAAATCAAAAACATTTCAACAATATTCTGGAAATAACTGACGTTAATAGTGAAGAAATTTACAAACTCATGTTACATATAATGAATGACTATATACAAATAAAAAATAAAGTAACTAATACACAAAATAAATTTAAAAAACCATTATATGACTTTGACTGTTACAACATGAAAAAGATAAAGCAAAACAATCTAAAACTATTCAGGAAAGATTCAAACAACTCAAACTTTACTAATTACAGGAAGGCTAAACAGACCTACAATAACTTACTCAAGGCCAAATAGAAAAAAATATTTCGGAAATCTTGAATTAAAGTTTAATCAATAACAGCAAGAATAGTAAATTATTTTGGTTTACAATACAAAAATTCTGCTTCAACATAAATCTAAGTGAAAACTTCTCTAATATATTTTGATACATGGAAAAATTTTTATAAGCACTTTCCAAATTTTCAATTAATTCCATCACTCATATCTAGCACTGCTTCCTACAATGAATACTTAGACTCCAAATTTACAATTAAAGAATTAGAAGATTCTATTAATAAAACTAAAAGCAACTCAACCCCAGGCAGAGACCATATCCCAACTAAATTCTTGAAATTACTTCCATATCAAGCAAGAATAAAACTACTGAATTTATTTAACTCAATGTATAATGCAATCTCATACCCAGACTCATGGAACTCCATCTTACTTACTATGATATATAAAAAGAGTGATAATTTATCTCTAAATAACTACAGACAAATAGCTTTACTTCCAACTTTGAGAAAATATTTCATGACAATATTAGCAGTCAAATTTCTACAATAAACTAAAGAAATGGAGTTTGAAGCTAAATTTCAGTATGCTTACATCAGAAATAATTGCTGATTATGTTCCTTTTTCTTATTACTATCATTAATACAACTACACCTAATTAAAAACCAAAGTAAAGTATATTCTTCTTTCATAGACATTCAGAAAGCCTTTGATTCAGTTTATGTTCCTTTACTGGTGCACAATTCAAAAGCTAGAGGAGCTGGAAAATGATTCACATCAAAATTTTGAATCCATTTGGAGTGTCAGATTTGTTGTTCAAAGATAATATACAAGATTGGAAATATGGCTACACACAGTTATTAGATTCTGCAATATCACAATCTATAAATAAAGACCAAGATAACCTAAGCCAAAGTAATTATCACCCTTGGTACATAAATATATTATACAGTTGAGATGACGGTATATATATATTACTAAATCAGTAAACATTAACAGCTCAATTAATCTCAACAAATATTCACTTTTTATTGGTAAAACATATTGTATTAACTTTTCAAACGCTGAGTGCATTTGGTGTAAATCTGAGGATTTTTTGATGTTTCACTTATTGCAGAATTGTCAAGAACTTGCAACCATGTGTAACTCATGATATTTTGCAAATATTTTGCTGTTATTCAATTTTACAAATATTTTAAACAACCTTAACAAAAAAAAAAGATCTTTATAAACTGTGTAACTACTTTACCAAAATTATAGGAATGCAAAAAAATTCAACATAATGTAACCTAATGTGAAATAATATTGTATAAAATGTAGTTGTTTCTGTATCGATAATTGTGATAAATCCGTATCTTTTGCTTACGTTTAGAACATTTATATGAAATCTACTGTAAAATAAATGTACAAGTTAAATAACTTAACTTACAAAAAAATTGTTCTAATACTTTTGTGAATTTTTATCTAACACATGTATTAACCCCTGCAATAGGAAAATATTCCTTTTTGTTAATAAAGATTTGATTGATTGATTGATTAATTTAATAAAGTAATACTCAAAATATATTTCAATTATATTTTTTGTTTATATTTATATGATTAATAGTATAATACTTTGTATTTTTAATGAAAATGCAATTTATAAAAATAAAAGTTACATATCTATAAAAATTATTTTTGAATATTTTGGAAAGACTTAATTATGTTTAAATTTGTAAACATAAAATAACTAGATTCACTATAATATAATAAATTTCTAAATTTTTTAATTAATCTACATTTAGTTTCTAATCATTATTATACTCACAAGATGTGACCTAATTGTCTTTTTTTTTTTTTAGACAAATTTCATAACATTAATCATTTCTTATCAAAGATCAGTGATTCTCAACCTTTTTTTTGTCACAGTACACTTTTAATAATTTAAAAATTTGGCAACACACATGGTCACTTTGGTAAGTACTGCAGGGCAACCAGTGACGTCATAACAGTGATTTTTAAACACAGTTGGTTATTTAGGTCAAATTTTCTAAACACCTTGGTAACTACTGGCAGTTACTGGTAACACCAGTTACAATTTCCAAACATGCCCTAGGAAGGTAGAACTAATTGAACTACTCGTCTAATGTTCCTTATGTATGGGTATTTGCAGTGGCTCCACACTGAAGTGCTGCAGCACAGTGGTTGAGAATCACTGTCATAAAACAACATTAACTGCAGGCATAGATTATCATCATGTCTTAAAACAATAAGAAATTTTTAACATCTTTATATAACATGCAAAGTTTATAAATGATTATTGTTCACAGAGTAACAAAACATTAGTAAACTTTATAAAATTATACCTTTGAATCTTCTTCTTTTATATCTAATGTTGTTTCAAAAATGCATGTAATTTCATTTTCTTTAGAAGGAGATGTGTTTTCTGAACAAACAGAATCTGCTTTACAACTTTGAAGTTTTGGCACTCTTCTGAATGCTGCTGCCAAACATAATAATACCTTTGAAACCTGTCAGAAAATTTTTTTCAATAAGTGATAATTATGAATTTACCATGAAATTTAAATGTATATGAAAACTATTTATAATTTAGTTATTCAATATTTTTTGACAAAGTATAAATTTATATTTACTGTAAACAAATAAAAATCCTAAAGTGTAGTGAAGTAAAAAAATCAAGAAATATATATTTAATGCAATTTATAGTCTTTCATAAATTCTCTAATTGAGAAAAAATTACAAATGCAATTTTGTCAGAAGCTGTTCATGTTACAATGATTTTGTTAGCTGTATTATCAACATTTGAGTCAAACTCTAATGAATTATACATACATAATTACTATGTATAACAAAACTAATGAACTACTTTACTGGAGTTCTAATTTATTTACAAGTAACTTTTAAATGTGAACTCCAGTAAAGTAGTTTATTGGTTTCATTATATATCTCAAAGAATTCATAGTTATTTTTGCATTAAAATTACTATGCAAAAAATTTTGGAAAATTTAACATAAAGAATGCCATAAAAAAATATTTCATGCTTATGCTAGGAGGTGAAACTGTCATGTATGAATAATATATGATGCAAAATATGGCCTGATGTGTGCATAATTTTAAAAATTATTTTAAAAGTTGATAAACAGATATTTCTTGTTGAATTGTAGGCAAATTTAGCTAGACAATATGACTTGAAAGAATTTGATAAGAATTATACAGATGAATTTCTTGCCTCATTTACTGAGAAATTCAATAATGAAGAATTAATGCAACTAAATTCACAAATATCCTTAGCAATATATTTCAAAATTCCAACTCAACCAATTTTAACAATAACTCTCTGAAGTTCTGTGTTTAATCAATAAAGCTACTGAATTTTTATAAATAATAATCTCAAAAGAGAAAAGTTTAATCTTCCATCAGGTGCAATATAAAACTATAAAGACAATGACTCAATGTATCAAAATGATCAGTTTTTAAGCTTATTTTTAAGCAAATATTTTATGAATTTTCACAGTACATTAAAATTATTATTTCTGATGTAATTTTTAGTTTTAAGTCTTATTATTACTAAAAAAAAAACTAGTAAACTACGAATGAACAAACTGACCTTTATAATAAAATATGTACAAGTTTGATATTTTTTCATAAAAAAATAAACTACAAATATAAAAGTGATTTATCTGTATTTTTCATATTATACAAAGATTTTTGTGCTTACTAACCATCATAGTTCATGCTTCATTACATTTATACCACATGTTGTATAAAAGACTTCTATGAGTGATAAAACAAATTGCCTTTTCACATTTTTTCCATTGATATTTTCTTCACAGCCTTTTACTTAGTGGTACATTCCTTCATAGCAGGCAGTCATTACAACCTTTCCCTTTCTTCATTGTTATTAACTTGTATTGCTTGCAATATAATAATAATTTCTATTTAAGGGATTTTAATTCTAAAAAGTAATTAATGTATGTAATCATTCTTGAATTTGTCACACTTACCAAAAAACCTGGCAATATTTTAAACTTTCAGTATGTAGTGGGAAGATGCAACAAATCAAAACAATAAAAACAGATTGAAAAACCTTCAAAATATGTGGCAAATTTCAAGAATTAAAGTCACCATCAAGAATTTTCTATTAAGAAATGATAATTCAAAATATGTATGGTGTATCAAATGAATCAAATGTGCAGAACAGGTTAAAAGTAGCAAGGTCTATAAAATATAAAGGTCTATAAACTGGTTGAACAAGGTCTATAAACCGATTGATGTAAAGAAATTCACTTAACCAAAGAAAACAGATGCTCTTCAATAGAGTCCATATAAAATATTTAATGTATAAGTTTTATAAAACAATTGTAAAAATTTCCATCAAATTTTATTTTGTACTGTATGATGGATCTTTATAGGAAAGATACTCTTTGTGTGGTAAATCTTTTGCTGTATAATACAATCATTCAGCAAAAATGTCATCTCCAATTCTTACAATCTACAACTGATTCAGTAAACTTCTTTATGGAGAACTGCAATATTGATGTGTAATATCCTCTATAAGTCAAACTCTACATGCCTGCAAGGTCTCTCTGGTAACTCAAAAAAATCCAGTTAAAATTGATCAAATATCTTTAGAGACCTAGCAGACTTTATGGACTTAAAGTAGAGTTTAGCTTATAGAGGATATTACACATGGTCAGTAAACTTAAAGTTGGGCAATATGAAGGTGAAGATAAGCCACACTTGGGAAGGCCTTCTGTCGTATTAGATGATAAGCTGCAGCAGTTGATGGAATCCATTGCACACTTTACCATGCAAGAAATGAGCAAGACACTTCATTGTACAGGTAACCCCCGTATAACACGATAGTTACGTTCCAAAAAATTGCCGTGTTATGCGAATCCGTGTTATGCGAAACAAAGAACTAGTACGAAAAGGAGGGTTAGGTTCCAAAAATTAAAAAACATGCAACTATATTTTCATAATTAAGATAGTTTATCCATAGATATACATTGTGTGCTTTCTTCATGCTAATGCAAGACAACATATGTCAAGGTTGACATGGCAGAAGCTGCTTGATCTCAGCTGGAAGGTATAGCCCAGACACCATACCATCCAACTATCTGATACAGCAGTTCTTAAATGGAAAGCAGTTTTCTGATGGTAAGGAGATAGAAAAAAAAAAAAAAATTACACTCACAAAATTCTTACAGTCAAACAGTCCAAACAGCAGGAATCCATGACCTGCCAATAATGGAAGAAGGTGCTTGAATATAATGGCTATTATTTTCTTGAAAAAATTATTTTTAACAACCAAATGACTGAGATGTTAAAGACATCACCTCTGTTCTAGGTTATTCAGGTTCAAATTAATCAAATTAATAAAATCCAAAAAAATTTTATGTTTGGTTTGATCAGGTACATACATCAAAATCCTCCTCTCTCATTACCTGGCAATTTTGGACCTAAGCAAATCCATAATGTGACTAACAAAAATTCCTCTTAGTACCAAAAGGATGAAAAAAATTTTTTAAATAGTAAATTTTGAATTTTTATCTGCTAGTAGCATTTAACTACACCATATGTCTGTTAAATGGCAAGTATTTTCAAAAATAAATAGTAAATATAATAAATATAAAAATTAGTTCTATACATAATTTACATTAAGAATGAAAAACACTAGGTGTAGAATTAAATTCTTTTTTCACTTACTGCTTCTGGAACATCACATTTAAACACATGACACTGAAAAATAGCAGATTCAGCTGTTGCACCATGGCTATGAGTGAAAGCAAAACAATGGCATTCTTTACTGTTCTGAAGTCCTGGGGCACAAAATAATATTTGGCAAATGGCAAAACTTGCAATTTCACACACACTGTTGGGCTCATATAAACTGAAATTTCAATAAAAGTTAAACATTTTATATCTAATTTAAAACATGTGTAATTTATATTGAAGGTCTAAATTTATAATATCAAATTTTAAAAATTATGCATTACACAATGACAAGAATCAAAGCATAAAAGTCAAAAGAATGCTTATTTAACTTATATTTTATAACTGGGATCATATAATCAGAAAATTATGGATGATATGCTACATTGAATATGTAATTTTGACAAACTAATAAATAAAAAATTAAATTAAATTACAGTAACTAAATATACAAGTTATCATTAAAATGTGTGTTTTATTATATATTGTGTATGTTAATTTAATTTTCATCTGAAAAAGTCTGTACTAACTTCACCTTGCTTCTGTTACTCTCACATTTTATGAATATATAAATAATTTTATATAAATTACCTTAATATGTAGAAATATCAGCTAAGGAATATTAGAATTTGAAGTAACATCAAATAAAAATATGCAATGCCAATAGTTATGTACAGTATATATACACTTTAAACCAGAAAGTATGAATTATAAAAAACAAAGTAACTATTTCATTTGATTAGAAACAGTCAATTTGTCATAACTGAAGATTTTATATACAGCTGATCTTCAATAAGTCAAACTTTGTTAAGTTGAATTATATTGTTTCCCAACATAACTCCCATAAACTCAATATGTTGTGTACCCAAGTTCAAACGATTTTGAGATCATATTTTACCAACTCAAAGTCTAGGATTCCAATGAATTTATTTCATGTCTAATTTTCTACAATTTCTATTGTATTTTCAAAGAGGCAAACCATATTAAACTGAACACAAACTTAAAAATAAAAATATTTAATTATGTACACTGGAAGAAACATAAGTTACATAGTATGAGTCACCATAAAAGTAATACTCATTTGCTTATAGTTGGCATTGAGAGCAACAGATGTCAAACAGGCAAGGTGAATTTTCTCAACTATCCTCAGTCACACATACACTCACTTGACGTAACTTACAAGTTAATCAAGTGTATTGTACAGTTGTGCATCATTAAAATTGTGGCAAAAATTAGCAATCCCATAGAATATATAGTGCATGCTGTTATTCAGTTTCTGAGTACTGAAAATGTTCTATACTATCCTGCCTAAAGTCCAGACTTGGCTCTTAGTGACTATCACCTGTTTGGGAAATTGAAGGAGTTTCCAGAAGAAAAGAGCTTTGCACTGACAATGAGTTGAAAGATGAAGTCATGCAGTTGGTTAAAGAACTTGGCAGCAGAGGGCTACAATGATGGCATTCAAAAACTGATCACAAGGTATGATAAATGAACTGACTATGTTGAAAAATGACTAAATCAATATGTAATAAAAAAGTTTGAATAAGTAGATTTATTTTGTGATTACAGGTAAATGAGTATTACTTTCTGGATGACCCTTGTATGTTTCTTAGTAAAAATATTTGTGCCTCCAAAGCCAGGACACAAAAGTACAAAAAATGTAAGAACATTTTGCATCTAAAATAATGACTTTAATCTTAAATTGGCCAATCAAATCTCATAGTGGTTTTTTATAAATTTTTTAAGGGATGCATGTGAAACAAGGTTTTTGAGGCAATCAAACATATCAAAGTAATTATCAAACAGGATATATCAAATTCAAACAATTATGGATTGTTGACATCCTTTCACAAAGGCTACAAATAATTTACTTTGTATATCTACCTATGTAACTAAAAAAATAAAATGCATTTAACTGTAACAATATTGTGACATTTAAAATCTCATTAAAGCAGGGATGGTGAACCTAAAACACACATGCCATAGTATCATAGTACCAATAGCAGAAGAATTTGTCTGGTATACAATATATTACACAACTTTATTTTTCTGAAATAAAAGACAGAATCAATGTATGACTTGATGTAATGACTTCATTATAGTTTTTCAAAAATGATAAGCTTTTTGAGTGTTTGTAGCACTCTTCAGTTATTAATCTCTAATAAAAATATACATTTATGCTATTTTAACTATTTATTAATTTCCTTTAATATCTTATAGCCTTAGCATAGTTGTACATATTCTTATAACATCTCTCATAAACAAAATTTAAGATCCATACAGGCAACTATTACAATTTAATTTAATTAAAATTGGAACTACAATTGTTACATTATTCATAACATTTATAATTCATATTAAACAATCTGTTGATCTTAATAAACTTGCACTTTTCCAACAACGTTTATTCTAAACAAAAGATTTTTAAATCCAAAATAAGTTAGATTTTCAAAGCTTCCCAGATGATAGAAGTTTTTGAAGCTATAGAACAAATTGACATCAAACAGTAATAGTTTTTGCAGCTTCTTTTCAGAGAAAATTTAAGGAACATTAGTCAGTAAATTTTTATGTTAATTTTAATTTTAGTGTTAATGTTAACACATAGATGTGATTTTTATACTTGTTCTAATATTTAATTGTTCCAGCAATTTTAAAAATTTAATTTTGCTCTTGTACCATTTTATTGAACATTTTGACCTGAAGTAGATCCAATTAGGATTAAAATTCTTGTCATAGCATATTTGTACAGTGGTACCTCAGGATACGAACGCTCCAGCATACGAAATTTTCAGGATACGACATGAAATTCAAACATATTGTTGCTCCACGATATGAACAAAAACTCACCATATGACGTTACATTAGTTTGCAGCGCCATTTTTTATTCACTTCTGTTCATTGGTCTCAGTCCACGTGTTTGCTTTGTTGTGGAAGGATCTCACTCGATAAAGGAAATCTTGAGGTATTATCAGAAAGTGACTGATTTTATTGAAAAGAAACATCCCGAAAAGGTTCACACTGGCCGTATTGTTGCTCGAAGTAATGACATTTGCCCAAGTCATTTTAGAAACATTTTAAAAAGTAGGCAAAGCCAAACCTCTTTGGATTGATATTTTACAAAGTGACCTCTATCTGGTGAAAGTGCTGGTGGAAGTGAAGGAAAGAAAGCAAAAAGCAGTGAATAAAAATTTTTAAAATATATATAAAACAACACTAATTTTTAAATCTTTTCTAAGTTATTTTTAAGTTATTGTTACATTATGTTATGTAAGTTAAGTTTTAGTATCATTTCCCTTCTCCCTCTCTTCCGCCACCAGTTTACATCTCCACCGTTGTCTATCCTCAAAGGTAAAGTGCAAATATTTTTTTTTAATCAATTATTATTCTATTATGGTTATTTATACATTTACAACTACAAAACGCATTTTTTAGTGTTTTCCTTGCTATTATTTTTTTAATGTACTGTAATACTTAGCTTTAATTTGAGTGTGTTTTTTGTGTTGGAACGAATTATTTGGTTTTACATGTAATCGTATGGGGAAAAATGATTCACCTTACAACATTTTCATGATACGATCTCAGTTTCGGAACGGATTAATTTCGTATCCTGAGGTACCACTGTATTGTATATTCGAATATTAGTGACGGAGTGGAAGCGCTGTATTGTCAGCTTCCAAACAGCCAAATTCGCGCATGCGCTTTACAGAACATCAACCTGACCCGGTTTAGCTGGTGGAAGCCTAGAACTTTGGGTGGAAGCTACACACGTATAATGCTTCCAATTCAATTCAGGACCAGTTCTGAGCTGTTAGCCGTCTGCTCGCTAGATAATTGGCTGCCTTCTCCCGATTACGTGAATCATGAGTAGATTTATAACTTAACCCAACCGATAAGAATTTACTGGTATGTTTTTATGATAGTTCTGTGTAGTTGACAGAAGTTTAAAAATATCCATTAAAATATTTGATATATTTATTCTGCTCTCCCATCTTATATTATTTACGGATTTCAATGTTAAACCAGTGATATTACGATTTGGTACGTCCCATTTTTAAGGGGAAGTAGAAAAAATCGTGTACAATTCTTGTATAATGTTAAAAAATTAACTGTTACCTTGGTAGCATCATTTACAACTAAATTTAATGAATGAGAGAGATGCACGAGGTACAGAAAAAGCTCTAGAATTTATTTTCCTTAAATTTGATATTTATGTATCCGTTGTCATAAAAATTTGTCTTTCCACTTTTTTCCAGAGACTACAAATATTCGAGTACAAAGTACCAGTTTTCAACTTATTTCTACTTAAACGCATTACGCCCATATCCCGAGTTAACTCGGGCAAGCTGCATAGCGTTACATAAATCTCGGGCATTTGGGCCCTAAAAAACATTTTTTTTTCAATTTTTGGATGTTTTTTTGTCTCCAAATTTTTTCAAAAATTTTTACCCCGGCGGAAAAATTTTACCGCGATTTTAATCAACCTTTAATGACGCGCGATTAACGCTTAATTGTTTTTTAATGTGATTTTTTTTATCAAATTTAATTAATCGTTCTAAAGTTGTTGTTCACGGATTTTACTTCGGTAAAGTTATTTAAAGCTAGTTTCTGATGTCAAAAACCACCTCCANCCCAAATACCCTTAAACAAAGGAAAAGTACGTCCTTTATGAAGGCATAGAGCCTTTACTACATGAAAATGAAAATTAATGAATACACTGTGTACAGTAATTTACCTGATAAGACAGACCTCAGAAAAATACTTTATGAGAGCTTTTATACTTTTATAAAGCTGTCTATAATTAAAATTAATTAACTAAGGATTTTTTTGCCCAGCCAGGGTGTGGACGAGTTATCCAGAGTGCCGGGTTATCGAGGGCCGAGTTTTCGAGGTTCTACTGTATTGTTATTTTTGATTTGTCAAGTTGTGACATTATTGATTGTTTCAAATGCAACAAAGTATCTACCATCGAAAATCCTCGTTTATAAGCATATTAGTTTCTGTGAATAATCTGGAATTTGTTTATAAAAGTTGAAAATCTCTTGTATAAAATCTTCTCGAAAATTTTAGCCAACACCGACACTATTATTATGGGATGATAATTTTCAATTTCACTTTTTGATCCTTTATTTTTATATAATGGCAAAACTAAGTTTTGATTTAGTTTTTCTGGAAAGTAACCGTTTTCAAAAGATTTATTTATCAGATGCAATAATGGTTGAGCTAAGATATCAGATATGTGTTTTAAAATTTCAATATTTAAGAAACTGATGTCTGGAGTGCTGTTTTTCAAACCCTCTATAGTATTATAGATTTCTAAGGCTGTTCTGTTTTGCAAAAGGAAAGTATTAGAAATACTAACATTTGTTCTGTGTTGCTCCAAATTGATATTGCCAAAGACATCTGGAGCAAAGCTGTTCAAGGACCTGTAGTGCTTGGCAAAAATGTTACTAAAAGTGAGCTCATCGTTTATCATTTTTCCCTTGTAACTCAAATGATCTATTTTAACCTTATTCTTTGTCCTGGTTACCTGAAAGGGTAACGTCTTAATACTTTTCCAGAAGTCAGAAGGAGATTTAACATTAGAAAACAGAAAACTAATAGTTTTTCTCTTCATTATGGATATTTTTTCCGATTTGTTTATTCAAGTTATATATATCCTCTAAATATTTGTTTTGTTCTTCGAAAGTCTTCTAATTTTTATTTTTGACTGTTTTAAGTAAAGTTTTCTTCTGTTTAATTAATGTGAGTGTGTGTTCAGATATAAAATTCTTTAAGAATTCTTTCCTGCTAATTTTATTTTTTTTTCACATATTCTTTAGTCAGAAGATATTTATCAATAAAAACGAGTAAGATGGTTTATAAATAATTTGCCAAATTTTAAAAAAATACATAGAAAATACTAAAATGTCTTGATTTTTGCCATGTCAAATCAGGAACAACAGACTTCTGTTGCAGAGACAACCTTTTATTAGAGGTTATGCCTCTGCAAAAAAAAACAAAAAAAACAATTAAAAAAATACATAATTTCTTTTAAAAAATAAATGATGAATTTACACATTAAAAAATATTTAGAAAAGCCTACAATGTCTTGATCTTCACCATGGAAAGGTCATCTCTGCAATGGAAAACTGTTGTTCCTGGTGAATTCAACATGGTGAAAATCAAGACATTTTAGTCTTTTCTATGTATATTTTTAATGTGTAAATTCATCAGCCATTTTTTAAAAGAAATTGCTTTTATCATTCTGTTTCTAGAATGGTATTAATGAATAGAACAGGAAACATATTCAAAATTAAAAATATAAAATAAAAGAAACAGAATGATAAAAGAATGTAACCCATTGGATAAGAGATTATTATTATAATTTTTCTTTTTTCAAAAAGATAAAATAAACTAAAAAGTTTTACTGTATTTCCTCAAATATGAAATGTACATTTTAAAAATATTTTAAAACCTACAAAATCAGGATATATCTTTACAATGAAAGTCCTCTTATATTCAACATAAAAAACTTGCCATTTGACAAGTGGAAAAGCAAATAGTGTTATAATTACCATTATTTATACATGAGCCAATTTTATAGCACTTATATACTGTACACTGCTAATACTACAGATGTTGAATTCAATTAAAATTTGGATTCTACTTGCTGGTTTAAATATTTTTGAAACATTACAGTATGATACAGTACTGAAATAAAGATTTATTATAAAAAAGCACAGTAGTAGAGTTTAGGCAAAAGTGAATATATTCTTTTAATTTTTATAGTTTCTATAAATGGCTAAAATTAAGGATTTATCATCACATCATTTTTGGAAAAAAGTTCAAGTGGAAAACAAAGGCCAATGTTTACTATGCTACTTTTAAATGCTAAAATTTACCCATCCTCTCGCTTTCCAGAAATTCACTGATTAAAAATGAAAGTTTTCAGCTACTTTCAGTGGCCTGCTCAGGTTAAGTGAGAGGGAGATGTGAATTTAGCATTTAGAAGATAGTTTAACCTTTAGAATTAACAAGTGTTACTTTTACTTGATTAAAGATGCATTTTGGACTATTACTTCCTCTTCAGTTTAATCATGTTCATAAAACACAGTTTTATTTCTTTTAGGTTTACAGGTTTTATGGTTACTACAATATATTATAAAAGGGCAGTGGCACACTCAAAATTTAATCTTGAAGGGAGTCAAATTGAATGGATAAAAAAATTTTTATGTGAACTCAATAAAATTCGCACCTTATGTGATCGATAATTCAGAAGTAATATAGAATAGAACATAACACAATATAAATAAAAAAATGAAATTTAAGTAAGAAAACTTTTTATAAAATTTACTAGTGTTTCTTTTCCTTTTACTTTTGGGATGCCAGGGTTCCTTGGCCCTCTCCCTGAATGCACCACTGTAAGATGGTATTATAATTATCATTTTTCTCCTTTAAAAATAACTTTACATACATATTTGCATTTTAAAATTAAGGTTATACATCTCACATTACAAAATGCTTTCTAAAGGTTCAATACATGCTAGATTTACCCAATTATGCCTAAAAATCCATTTGCAATTGGTATGAGTTAAAAGTTTCCTATCTACAAATATAAATGAAAAGGTTTTACTTATGACCGGGTAACTATAAAGTATACATTCTTTGAAAGCTATAAAGTATGCACTCTTTTTTAAAAGAAAACAAAAAAGAAGGCTTGATACCAGGTTTCTTCAGAGTTTAACAATGCAGGAGAATAAAAAAAAAAGTAACTTCTATGCTCATGCACATGTGATTCACTATGTAAATTTTGTAATCTTCACATGTTTTTAATTTTGAATATGTTTCCTGTTCTATTCATTAATACCATTCTAGAACCTGAAGATGGCCATTATACATGGTTGAAAGCATTCATTTCATTAATAACTGAAATTCTATTTTACTGAATTTAAGGTTTTTTTTAATATTAATTTTAGTTAATACATCCAGTTTTTGGAGTTTTAAATGGAGTTTTTGATGGAGTCATGTTTTTATCATGTTGATATCATGTTTTTTAGTCTTTACATGTTTCTTAAAGCACACTTTTATTTTTCTTCCTGTTTCCCCAATGTAAATATGTTTTGTGTTATAGTTATATTCAAAACAATATACTACATTACTTTTCTTCCAGTTTTCATTTTCTCTATTTTTTCTTATCACATTACTCTTTAATTTTAGCTGTTATAAAAGCTATAAAACTTAAAATTAAATAAGAAGGACAAGAAGCAATTTTCTGGAATTTGAAAGAATATTCTGTGTTCATTTATTTTGATTGAAATGATAAAATAAAAGTTGTAATAATTCTAATGAATAAATTTACAAATTTATGTTACTGTGAGTTAATAAAAATACTTTTGAACACTTTCAATTATTAATTGATAATACATCTATGTATGATCTTACAATATTAGGCATTTGAGAATTGAATAAATAAAATTACTGTATATAACTAGGTTAGAAAATATGCTTTTAGAAATATTATTTAAAATGGCTCAGTAATTTGTATTTATGAATAAGAATATGAAAAAATAACTAACCTTCCTCAAGTGGACTAGGTGATGAAGTGTACATGCAAGCAGTAAGTGATGAGTCTGCAGTTTCTTCCGAGAGGTTTGAATCTTCATTTTGATTCTTATCTTTTAATTCAGTTATTTCTTTCATATCTGTAGATTTTTTTAAATTATAGTCATTATAGGAATCTTTTTCTGCAACTTCATTATTCTGTAAAAAAATATACATATATTTCATTCTTTAAGTATTTATATAAACAAATTATGCTTTTCTAAATCACTTTATAAAACATGTATTTGTAACATGCAATAGTTAATCAAATACATTAATAATTTCTTTTAGACTTTCATAAGATCAATACTTTAAAATAATTAATTAGATAAAAGATACTTTAATGGAACAGGACAGTTTACAAAAGAAAAATTCAAACACATTGAGTACCTGATCCTGATAATCAGTATGTAGTACTCAAAAGCATTTTTGTTATAGCTTTATTGAATTTCACACTGATAATAAATTTTAAGGATAGGATTTCATTAAATATTCAAAATTAATTAAATTTAAAGTACTGGTAAACTACCATACTACCATTCATACCTTTAAAAATGCAGTAAGATTTTAAATCTGACACATATATGTAAATTTTAGGTGTTCAAATATGTCATCTTTGTCAGTTTTTGGTTTTGGTATTGGATATTTTTTAATCTATGTAGAAGTTTGACATGTGTTTAAATATTTGATGTCCTAAACTGTTAATATTCGAAATGCAACTTGTTCCAGAAGATAATTTTTGTTCTTATTTTTTAAATTGTAATTTGTTTTTCTATCCTAAGGAAGAGCATTTAAAATGACTGAAAACATTAGAAAAATTAAAATCTTACTGTATTTTTAAAGGTATGAGTAATAGTACTGTAGTTTATGATGAATGAAGTTTTGCTGAATAGCACCAGTAAACAGAAATATAAAATAAAAATAATATTCTTCAAATGAAAAATGCAAGTTGTTAGTATAAAAGTAAAAGAAAATGAAGAGACAAAACAGCAGTTTTAGCAATGTCATTCATTAAATCTGTTATATAAATATCCTCTAACCTTATTTTTAATTAAAGCCAAACAATCTACTGGATTATACTAAGCTTTATCAAGGCTAACCAAACAATCTATCAGATTAGCCTTAATATAACCTGATATAATCCAGTAGATTATTTGGCTTCAATTAAATTTGGTTAAATAATTAAGTAAAATTATAAATAAAAAATTATATCTTCCACAAAAATAATAGTGCAACTTAGAAATTGCACTATTATTTTATGAGCGTATATCAAAATTTAGAAAATTATATTATTACATACAGATGTTAAATTATTTTAAAACAATAGATTAGCTACATTTGCCTGTATTAATTGTATCAAAATGTGATATTACAATAAGTACAACAGTTCAATTCTACTTTCCAATAAACTATTGAACAACTTTACTAATAAATTATGCTTAACAGTCTTAATAAATTCAAGTTTTCTAATAAAAGAAAACTAAGAAATGAATTATTCTGTTCATTAATGCAAAACTATTGGCATACAAAGTTAAACTTATCGTAACCATAATTTGATTCTTACTTCTAATAGAAGAATTTTTATATCAATAACAAATTTGAAATATAATTGGATGATTCTTCATAAGATTCATCAAATCTGAGTGTAAAATTCTGAATTGTTGCTACATCAAAAACTTTCAAGCTCAAAACAAACTAAAACTGCAATTTAAGAATTCCAGCAACAAGTTTTTTTCTTTTAAGTTTTTATACTCTGAGAATCTAATGAATTTCACCATGGGTTTAACTAGACCTACAATAGGGTACTGATGGTGAGGAATGGGTCCAACATATTCAGATCAAATAATCTACAAAAATTTGAGGATCAAAACTGTACTCAAATCCAAAGCACTTATAGCAATAAGCTGAGAATTTTATTACAATATGTAGAGTATTTACTTAAATTCTATGATAAATTTAATTTTTGAATTCTGGAAAATATTCTACCAAGCTCAGGGCTGTCAATAAAGGAAAGAACCTAGAGAAATCTTGAAGCTTTAACCTGCTTTTTATGTATAAAATGAAAACATTACATGTATTTTATTTGTTCAAAAAACTGCTAAAGAGGCCTGCTAAGAGACCTCTGGAAAGACTGGCTCTGTTTAGAGCTTGTATGGGTCCCCTGGGCTAATGTAAGCTCTTGACAACCCTGACCATAATACAATATATAGTAATAAAGCAAAATTTGCTTTAAGAATATAAAATAACATTGGATAAAACTAATGTTTTTAAAAATGTAGAAAAAATTATTTTATTTTTGAAATTCTTTTGTAGATTGTTACTTATATAAAAATAAATATATTAATACAATATTCCAAATAAAATTAACTTAATGTCTTGACCTAAAAATAACAAGTTAATCCTGAATATAATATTCGTTACACAAAAAGAGAAATAAACTTAATTCAATTTTTTATCAGTTGTTTTAAATTTTAAAAAATTTAGTAATCTTAACTTTTTCTTTAATTGCAATCAGCACATTCCTTATCTTTAATTATCATCATTTTTAGTAAAATCATTATATCAGTATATTTTAAAATTATCTTAAAACTTTATAAAATAAAATATTTTATTTTTAAAACTATTATATAAAATCAGTTTGTGTCAGAGTATAAATTAAGGATTACAAATTTGTCAAGAGATAAGCAGAGTTTATAGATATCAATACTCTAACATTTAGACCTATACAAAATCAAATAATTATATCTTATAAAATAATGTTTGTGAAGATATTAAGATGTCAACAGAGATGAATTTGGCAGATTAACCAGCTGAATAAAGAAATTTAATTAAAATATAAAACTTACATCAGCATTAGAAAGATAAAATGTATGAAAGTTATAGGCTAAGATATAACATGAAAACAAAGTGAAATGGGTTACAAATTTAGATGTTGCAAATATATTGAAAAAAACTTTAAATGAAAAGGATAATATTTGTGTTAGTGGTAAAATATAACAAATAAAAACAGTACAGTACAGTGCGAAGATAAAGAAAGCTGAACTAAAAAATAGCACAAAAATAACATTAATACTGAAAAATATCAAAATGTGGACATAAGATAATGATGACCAAGACAAAACCTTTCTCACTTGTTTCTAGCCGTTTATACACAAGTACGAATAATAGATAATGATTATGAAACAGCAATATTTTTGACTAAAATACAAAACTGATAGCAAAAAATACAAAAAATCCCATTAGAATAATTGAAAAGATTGATATTACCTACAAATGAAGAAAATTAACTTTAAAAGAAAACAAATAAATGGTAATAATAGCAGCTGTAAGTTTGATTCATATCAAAGGAAACTGCAAGACATAAATAAAATGACAGACAGATAAGAAGTTCACTTTGAAAAAGTTTTTTGCGCTTTATTTATAGTTCTTCTAATAAGTAGTTTAAAAAGTTCTTTTCATTCCCAAAAATTTTAAGGTAAAAAAATTAATATTGAATTTTAATAGTTTGCTCAAAAACAAAACAAACAAACAAAAAATAAAAAAATTTATAGAATTCTGCAATGAAAACAAGATACGAGGGCTGTTCGGAAAGTTCGCGGCCTCAAATAGAACAACAAACAAAATAATGTTAAAACTTTTTTATTTTTCAATGTAGTCTCCTTTGTTAGCTATGCACTTATTCCAGCGATGTTCTAGCTTTTTTATGCCATTACAATAGGTCGATTTGTCAAGGTGTGCAAAATACTCGTTTACTTCAGAGATGACTTTGTCATTTGAGTGGAATCTCTTTCCAACCAAGAATTATTTTAAATTTGAAAAAAGGTGGAAGTCACTGGGGGCCAAATCAGGTGAGTACGGTGGATGTGGAACTAATTGGAAGCGAAGTTCGTTTATCTTTTGTTCAGTGATTCTGGCGGAATGTGCAGGTGCATTATCGTGGTGGAACAGAACTTTTTTCTTCTTCAAGTGTGGCCTCTTTTCTTCGATTTCTTTCTTCAGTTTTTCCAAAAGTTCACAGTAATAGACAGCATTAATGGTCTTTCCTCTTTCTAGGTAGTCAATAAAGATGATGCCTTTAGCATCCCAAAAAACCGAGGCCATCACTTTACCCGCTGATGGAACTGTCTTTGCCTTCTTTGGTGGTGGCGAACTGTGGTGTTTCCATTGCTTCGACTGTTCTTTTGTTTCAGGAGTGTAGTAATGGATCCACGTTTCGTCAGTAGTCACAAACCGACGCAAGAAATCCCGTGGGTTTTTCTTGTAGAAGTCCAAACACTTCTTTGACATCAAAGTGCGAACACGTCTTTGCTCAGCGGTCAGCAGATGCGGCACCCAACTTGCTGAGACCTTCGTCATACCCAAATTTTCGGTTAGGATGTGGTGCACTCGGTCGACAGAGATGCCTGTTGTCTCAGCTATCTCACGCGTTTTCAAACGGCGATCTGCTAACACCAAATCGTAAACTTTGTCGATATTTTTTTCAGTGACAGCAGTTGACGGCCGTCCGCTGCGAGGGTCATGTTTCACACTCTCTCTGCCAGATTTAAAAAGGGCTGTCCATTTTTTCACAGTGGTTTACGAAGGAGCAGACTCTCCCAAAACTTCATCCATGTCAGCTTTGATTTGAGATGCGGTCAACCCTTTTTTCGTCAGGTATTTTATGACCGCACGAGTCTCCGTCTTCTCCATTTTTGACAAAGCATGTGCACATTGACTATCTGCTAAGCTGTCGTGGCAAACCTTTACAACAAATCAAACGGAAATTGGTATCGTATCTTTAGCAAGGATGGCTGAATTATTCCCGCCAAAAATTAAATTGATCGCAGCGCCGCATATAGGCAAGGCCGCGAACTTTTCGAACAGCCCTCGTAGTTGATTAGAACTTATAAATAACTTAGCAAATGTCATCAGCAAGTTTATTCAAAACAGCTTACGTATTGATTGATCTTATACATTGACTGTTTCTGATTGCATAATGTTCTCTGAAAATGAAAATAATACTAAAAATATTAAAATAAGTTCTTTTAACATCTTTTACATTTAAGTTCTTAATATGTATATTGCTATAAACTACAACAATTTGATACTTTAACAATTGCTAAATGATCTGTTAGATTTTATTGAATTATATTTTCAGGCAACTTAATGATCAGAATCAA